AGGTAAGCCCGTAGATATATCTAGTGATTAGAATGTTCGTATAGATCGTTTTTACGTTCATAAACGGTCGTTTGGTTGAGTTTTATGTTTGACATGTTTGAAGAACCAAGAATCATAAACCAAGAAATTGTTGTTAAAACTACAAATTAATGACTCTAAAATGATCTGTGAACATTGGGGAACATTCCTATATAATTTAATTGAAGTTTGGTGATTAAAAATGATAATGTTAAAAATTGAACAGAGGAAGAAGATGATGAATAGTAGCCGAAAATCGATTATTTACTTACTAAAAATCGATTAGAATTTTATTCAGATCAGTGGTTCGAAGTCAGTACCATTTAATCGATTATTTATTTTGTAAAAATCGATTATTATGAATTAATTGATTATTTATATTGTAAAAATCGATTATTATGAATTAATTGATTATTTAAATTGTAAAAATCGATTATTATGAATTAATTGATTATTTAAATTGTAAAAATCGATTATTATGAATTAATGGATTATTTAAATTGTAAAAATCGATTTTTTTATGAATTAATCGATTATTTATATTGTAAAAATCGATTAAAATTAATTAATTGATTATTTAAATTGTAAAAATCGATTATTATGAATTAATTGATTATTTAAATTGTAAAAATCGATTATTATGAATTAATGGATTATTTAAATTGTAAAAATCGATTTTTTAGGAATTAATAGATTATTTATATTGTAAAAATCGATTATTATGAATTAATGGATTATTTAAAATTATATAAATCAATTTTTATAAATTAAATGATTATTTAAATTGTAAAAATCTATTATTATGAATTAATGGATTATTTAAAATTATATAAATCAATTTTTATAAATTAAATGATTATTTTAAATTATTTTCCTCAATTCCAGATCCTGTTCCGAAAATATTCAGAAAATATATACTCTAAAATCCACCAATTGATTATGATCATTGGAAAAATGATTTACCATAATAAAAATGATGTTTTTAACAAATAAAAATGTTATGTGATGCATGACGGTAAGTTAGGGTGTTAACACCCGAAGCTAGGCCGCTAATTGTTATTGAATATTATGTTGATTGATGATTATGGTAATGATTATTGATTGATTTTTATGATGATTGAATCTTGATGAATATTCTGATTAAAAATGATAATTGTGAATGATTAAATCATAATGAATATATTGATGATTGTGAAAATAAAATGTATTGTTAAGGGTATCTAGAAAACCTCTAAGATATACCCATATTAATGTTGATTTCAAAGGTATCTAGAAGACCTCTAAGATATACCTATTTAAGTTAGGCCTTGCGGGTATGAACCCCGGTGGCTAGGGTTAAAACGTACGTACGGGATCCAAGAACCAAACTTGAGTACCTACTCGTTTGGGGGTACCACCCACCCAACAGTGAACACTACGCTGTCGGTTTTTGGTTAGCCTTAAGTGAAGGTAAGTTTAAGATTTTCAAAACCCTTTTATCTTAAACTAGGCCTAGCTTAAGGATTATTTAGGAATATTTTATACTAGAATATAGTTTAATTATTTAAACTAGAATTCGTTTAAAGGTTGACAAATATTAAAGTGATTGGCCTTAGACTAAGAATAGTTTAAGGATATTGTTGAATGTTGAATATTGAATATGAGTAAATATTGAATGATGAATATTGAATTGAATATTGCAATTATTATGAATGACTGATGAACATTGAATGTGAATATAAATGTTGAATAATGCATGATGAATAATTTTTAATAATTTTTGATTATCTGAACTGAACATTATGTGCATGATATCAAATGATTTGATTATGAATTTAGATTCAGTTTATATGGATGTTCGATGCATTAGATATGCTTACTCAGCTTCAACGCTGAGCGTGTAGTATGTTTTATTTGCTACACGCAGGTTAATGAAGTGACGTGATCCTGGAGGCAGACGGAGGCGAGATTGTCGGAATGGATGTGATGGTTTTGAATTAAAGAACATAAATAAATTATGTTTGTGATTATGATTGTTAAGCTTCCGCAATATTGAAAACTCCGTACTGTTTATATTATGAANGAATATAAATGTTGAATAATGCATGATGAATAATTTTTAATAATTATTGATTATCTGAACTGAACATTATGTGCATGATATCAAATGATTTGATTATGAATTTAGATTCAGTTTATATGGATGTTCGATGCATTAGATATGCTTACTCAGCTTCAACGCTGAGCGTGTAGTATGTTTTATTTGCTACACGCAGGTTAATGAAGTGACGTGATCCTGGAGGCAGACGGAGGCGAGATTGTCGGAATGGATGTGATGGTTTTGAATTAAAGAACATAAATAAATTATGTTTGTGATTATGATTGATAAGCTTCCGCAATATTGAAAACTCCGTACTGTTTATATTATGAAAAATATTATTGTGATAAATAAAAGTGTTTGAAATGTTTTAAATTTTTACGATTACCAAGTTAATACTTTAATCTGAAAGGGGTTGCAGACCTGGACAGATTAGGGTGTTACAGAGCGTGTAGTATGTTTTATTTGCTACACGCAGGTTAATAGAAAGAATGATGTGACGTGATTCTGGAGGCAGACGGAGGCGAGATTGTCAGAATGGATGTGATGGTTTTGAATTAAAGAACATAAATAAATTATGTTTGTAATTATGATTTGTTAAGCTTCCGCAATATTGAAAACTCTGTATTGTATATGTTACGAAAAATATTATTGTGATAAATAAAAGTTCCGCAATATGGTCGTTTGGTTGGGTTTGTATTTGACATGCTTGACGAACCAAGAATCATAAACCTTGAAACTGTTGTTAAAGCTTTGAATTAATGATACCAAAATGATCTATGAACTTTGGAGAACATTTGCATATAGTTTAATTGAATTTTGATGACTAAAAATGAAATTTTCAAAAATTGACCCGAGATTGAAGATGATATTATTCAAAATTGACGTAGACACGGTAGTGGGCTATCGCTCGAACGGTGCCTAGGTACCGCCAGCACGGTAGGCAGGTACTATGATAAGCAAAATTTCACTGCGGTTCCTGACACCAAGCGTTACCACATAGTGTCTCAACAGTACTGAGGTACCGTGTAATCGGTATATCGTAAGGGCCACTGTCTAAATCAAGAACTTTTTCATAACCCTGATTTTTGATACGTAAAATTCTATTATTAATCAACTCAACTATGATCAATATGAAAATGATTTCTAGAAATAAATATGATGTTTTTATAAATCCAAGAAACTTGTATGATGCATGACGGTAACATAGGGTGTTATAACTCGACGCTAGGTCGCTATTTGTTATTATGATGTTGATTATTATCCGTTATTGATTATGATAATTAAACCATGATGAATATCCTGATTAAAATCATAATTATGAATGATTGGACCATGATTAAAAATGAATATATTGATGATTATGAAAATGATGTGTATTGTTAAAGTTATCTAGAAGAACTCTAAGATATACCCATGTGACCAAATTAGTTAGGCCTTGGCGGTATGATGCTGGTAGCCAGGGTTAAAATGTACGTACGGGATCCATGAATCAAATTTGAGTATCTACTCGTTTGGGGATATCACCCACTCGACAGTGAGTAGTCCACTGCTTGGTTTAGAGCGTGATCCATAAAACTCGTATGATAGATCATTAATTCTTGTGTTCTGCATTAAACTAATTACAGTTTAAGAACCTGGTTAGAAATATTTCCTTAGACTAAGAATAGTTTAAGGACTTTGTTACGAAAATGATTTGGTCTTAGATTAAGAATAATTTAAGAGCACTGTTGAAATAATGAATATTGAATATCTCAATTAAATAACATGTGTTGATATTAAATGATCTGATATGAACTGAACATTATTAATTTCATGAATATTGAATATTATGTGTATGATATCAAATGATTTAATTATGAATTGAGATTCAATTTATGTGGATGTTCGATGCATTAAATATCTTTACTCAGCTTCACCGTTGAACATGTAGTATTTTTATTTGATAGATGCAGGTAAATAGAAAGTATAATGTCACATGATCCTAGCGGCAGACGGCGGCGAGATTGTCAGGATGGATGTGATGGGAAGGTAATGAGAATTTATTTAATAAATCTTGACTGTATTAAATTGTCATTAGATGATAATTATTAGTATTGAAATCAAATCGAGTGTCGATTCAAATCAAACTTTCGTACTCAGCAAGAGACGAAAAGAATAAATTAAAGTGTATTACTCTCTGATTCGTTACCAACATGTTTATTGCATCACTAAACTTAAAATTTATCTATAAAAGCGCATGGAAACGAGACAACCTTGAAGAAACGTTTAATGTTGATCTTACGAACTACATCTGTCAATCCGATGTCGAAGATCCTCATGTGGATTGAACATAATCTCATCATTGATTCAAACGTGAACCTTTAGAATTAATAAACTCTAATCAAACGAACAGACAACTTGTTCAGTCAAAGAACTTACTTGCTAGAAGCTGTAGACAACTCAACCTTGTTCAATGAACTGATACTTAGGTATGAAGGGGCTAGTGTGATTGAATGAATGAGCTAGATAAAGTGATACTAACGTGTCGTACTGATAAATCATCAAGATAAATGGCTCGCCTATATACCCTACTAGTGTGAAAGATTGTAAATGTGGTGACGATACGAAACAAATTGTGCAACAATGACATCACCAATATGTTGGAACAGACTTAACGTCTATGTTGTACTGAAGTGGTGTTTGGTTTTTGACAGGTTTTGACACTTAACTTCTGTCAAACATGGTAATGTGCAATGAGAACTTAATTTATGGACGAAGGGGGTATATGACTTATGGGCCAAAATCACTAAAAAGAAGAGAAAGTGTGAAGAATTATTAAAGATATTGTAACACGGACAAGGACAAGGACATAACATGTGCGGTTCATTTTATCAGATAGACTTACACTACCTCCAATTTTATACTCCCTCCGTCCTATAATGATCTTCCCGGTTCGCAAAACGAAGAAAAATCCCAACTTTTTTCAATCTATTTTATTTAAATATTGGTATAGAAATATAAAATAAAACATACATATTTAAAAACTACATCAAAAGTTCAACAAAACAAGTGGTGACAAGAATATTTTATTTTATCATATAGGCCATGAAAAAACACAAATAAATATAAATTCTCGTGAAGTTGGAATAGTGCTCTGGGAAGATCATTATAGGACGGAGGGAGTAACATAGACTTATACTACCTCCAATTTTATCAGATAGACTTATACGTTCGTGGCGCATTTTTACTTTTTTGATTTTTTGTATTCAACTATTCTCAACATTTGACTTATAGTTAAATTAAATATATATTGTATATTAATTAGATAAAATAATATTTTAAAAATATTTTATACAATAAATCTAATAAAAATATGTATGAATCAATTTTTAATATCATTTTTATCTAATTTGAGGTAAAAATTTATAAATTTTGACCAAAAAATTAAAAGTCGACAAATACCAGAGGTGGACCGTTGGGCTCCCTAAATATGACCGTTACGAAAACAAGGCAATTCTCCCAGTTTAAATATCCAGAAATGCCCTCCCTCCATTTCCACCATTGAACCAAATTTCTTATCTGATCACAACATTTCATCTCTCTGGTTTCCAGCGCTCTCAATTCTTTAGTTCTATTCAAACTTAATTTATATTTCCACATCGCGATTAACTTTCCATTTTTAGATTTAATTTATAAATTTAAGTTAGTTTCAATATATTTTATATATTTATCTCTTTCTTAGCCTGGCCGATGGCAGAAAAGAAAGATGCACACGTCGTGGTTGAGATCCCAGTAGAGGGTGAGAATCAACAGAAGACATCGTGCCTCACAGCAATCCAACACCACCCATTAATGGAGATCTCGCGAAGCCCGGGCCATCTCTTACTCCTCAAGCTCTGGCAGAGAGAGGAGGGCATCTTCGGCCGCAAAATCGCGGCGAAAGAGGCCCGGATCGACTTCCTCCGGCGCGAGATCTTCCAGATCTGCTGTTCCTTCTTCGTGTTCTCCGCGATTTGCTTCACGGTACTGTCCACGGCGTACTCGGATGAGGGCAAATCGCCCGGCGCCTGCCGGAAAGGGTGGATCCCTTCGGGAGCACTCACTTGCACTTCGCTATTCGTCGCTTGTGTTGTCCATGTTAAGATCTGCAGGTTCTGGAAGACGTGCGGGCAGCTGCAGAGGCTGAGGAGCGACGGCCGGTGCGTGGCGAGATGTGTTCAGGAGCTGAGGATGAAAGGGGAGAGCTTCGATCTGTCCAAGGAGCCGGTGTTCGCCGGGAAGAAGATGAAGAGCTCCAGCGTGGAGATCCGGAAATGGAAGACGCCTCTCACCTGGTGTTCTCACTATGCTGTGACCATTCTCCTTGTTTGTTTTTCAGGTCTGCTCTTCACTGCCGCGGAGTTTATGCGCAGCTGCTGAAGGGAAATCTGGAGAATCGTCACTCGCCCAGTGACGATATAATGAATGCAAGCAGGGCAGAGGAAGTAAGAATTTGTTGAGACTAACATATTTTTTTTGACATTGTAGTGATTATTAGCAGGAATCTGATCTGGGTTTTCATCATGACTTGTTTGTTTTTAGGGCTGTGAAGCAAAGGTAGCTTAGATTGCCCAAGTTTGATGGATCTATAAGTGCTTTCCTGCTACAACCAAATTTCTCTCTTGTAATTCACTCTGGCCCTGGACTTGATTTTCATTCTTTTGAATCTTTGATATCTTCCGCTGTACTGAGGAATTTGCTTTGTTTTGATTCCTAAAATGCAGATTTTTATGGCACGCATCGGGTTGCGATATTATCTCGCGTGGAAGAGAGGGAACTGAATCAACTCCTTGATGCTGCTGCCTGAAGCAACAATGGTTGAGATTTGGAAGGCTATTCTGATCTGTCTTTTGAGTTTCTGACTGGTTTATTTATTTGGAAGAATTTGAATGTTAGAGTGAGAATAAACACCTTTTTCTTTTGTTTTGGTTCAAATAGGAAACGCAAGGAAGGGGGGCTTGGCATTACACCCAACCAAAGTGAATGCCGATATGCAATTTACCCCAATCTGCAGAGCTCTGGTGTCCAAATAAATATCTTCAAAACCTGCAGAAGTGACATTTTCTTCCAACCATGTCCTCATATTTGCAACGAGGAAGCTCCCATCATTCAATATATTGGTTATGGCTCAAGGTGATGGTTTACATTACAAACAATGAAACAATGATTAGAAACCAAAGTCATGTTGATGAAAGGTAGACTTCTATAGAAAGAGTTAACTAGTACTCCGTGTCTATGTACTTGTTTAATTTTTCCTTAATTTTTTTGAGTCAAGTTAAACGAATTTTAGATTTTAATTAAATTTATAATATATATTACTCCGTATTATAGAGCATTATAAAAATGATTTATTAAATTTATCTAGTTGAAATTTTTTATAATTTTATTTCATTATATTATTATGCAATACAAATTTAGAAATGATTGATGATTAAAATTTGTTTCATTTGACTCAAATAAGTCAAAATTGACGAAATATATTACAAATGGTATACACATCACAGGGCCTGAAATTTTTTAACCGGCCTTGACTTTTTAAACCATTTCCCGCAAATACACATTTCTTGGCTCAAATGCACGACAATTCCATCTTCTCTAAAGGCTTTCTCCGTTTGTTTTGGGTGGTTGGAGACGATCGAATGAGAGACGGATTTGGTTAAATCGTTTTTTTTACACTAACGATAGATAATTTAGCGTTCGCCATTTAATCTTTAGATGTGCGCAGCTTTGCAACATGTGTCACCTATGAGTCCCAATTAAAGATTAGACTAACACTACATTATGTACTGTTCACCTCTGACGGTTTCTGTTGTACACCACTAATAAAAATGTCTTTTTGGTTTCCTTCACTACACGGGATTTAATTCGCCTTTACTTAAGTAGACTTGTGCTAGAAGAACTCTAAGAATCCAACATCATGCTTCTCAGAAACCGACCACTAACGTATGTTTCTGAGAAGCTTGGCACCGGTGGAAGATAATTTGCGAGAAGCGAGGTTGAGATGGTTTGACCATGTGAGACGGCGGGATGCTAACGCCCCTGTACGGAGTTGCGAGAGGATTACGGTTATCAGGGGATGGGGTAGACTCGGGAAGAATTGGAAGGAGGTGATTAGGCAGGATTTAGGACTTCTCGACCTCACTGGGGATATGGCCTTAGATAGAGACCTTTGGAAAACTATGATTAGAGTAGTTGGATAGGGGGTCGGTGTTGTAGGGGTTGTTTTGTAGTGTGTTGTATTTGTTTAGAATCTTTTGTTATTGTTTGTACTTGTTGCTTGTACTTGGCGCTTTATATGTGCTATATTGTGTTCCCTTCCATATTTTTGTGCAGGTGGAGCCGGAGGTCTCTTAGAAACAGCCTCCCTACTTCCGAGTAAGGGCAAGGTCTGCGTACACACACCCTCCCCAGATCCTACTGTTGTGAAATCCAACTGGGTTGTTGTTGTATTAGATGTTTTATGTTGACAACGACCCTAAATGCACTATGATGCCACTAGACTTTTGGAAGACATGATATCTGTTCGTAAAAATAATAATCTCTTGGTGAATCCCTTACCTCAGCCCAACCCAAGCTCAATCCCTTCAACTTCATCCTAGAGTTTTGTTGACTTTGGAGTAAAAAAATAAAACCCCAAAAGGACAAATTTGGAAATAAAATTGAAGAAATTGGAGGGTGAATTCGAATTTATCCAGAATAGAGAGATTAGGATAAAAATCATTAATTTTATAGACGGAATATCATAGAAGCTTCATTTGGAGCCAATGTCAACGTCGAGTGTCAACCAAACCTAACCAATTTTGCTCTTTAATTAGTTTACACCATAATGTGGACAAGCTTCGAGTTTTCGTACCTAATCGTGATTGTCTTATTACCACTTTCCATGTCGACCTTTTTTACTCAACATAGATCAATCAACTGGCCAGTGATTATTCTATTAAGCACACGTTCTTTTCCTGTAGAAACACACTCAATCGCATATAAGTTTTGGGGATTAAAATAAAGCTCAGTGCACGTCTTAATGCTCATTACATTACAACTCAAAATAAAATGGCAAACACATTGATCTAGTCCACACCTGCAATGCGCATTGCATTAGGTAAGGTAACACATTCATACAAACAAAATTTAGCCAGATATCCAACTCTGTATGGCAACATATGGCATGGAGGGAGACTCAGGAAAAACTCGTGAGTTTTACTTTGATATAATTGAGGAGCACCATATACGCCTATCACAATCATCAATCTCAACAGCTACAGATAAATTACGACACAGAGATTTGGCTTCTAATCTAAATATACAGGTCATTATTATTATTATTCATGGTGGAATTCCAGTATTGGATCAGCGTCATAATGGCATTCTTCAGCTAGAGCCAGTGTCAACATTTCAGTGCAGAACTTATGAGTTGGATTGAGCGATAAAGCCTGCATTAAACAAACATTAAATGAAACTATTCTAAGACGAGAGCGCCGGCCCTCAAGTGCTTTTAGAACATTGGTACCGACCCTAACATAGTTGGCATAACGTGGTGTGGATGACGAAGACAACACAAATAGTAGTATGAATTACTCCATCCACCCCGAAATAAATTGAGGTCAAACTATATGTGCTTTTCTTACATATTTTCATTGATTATTTGATAAAATAAGACGTGTCACCTCTTGTTTTGTACTCCCTCCGTCCTAAAATTAACTTCTCACTTTCCTTTTCGGGTCGTCCTAAAATTAACTTCTCATTACTAAAAATGGCAACCTTTTTTCTATTAAAGGACAATAATACCCTCTTCAACTATCCTATCTTTTCACTTCAATTTTCATTTCTCCGTACAACTTTCTTCCCCTTTCATTACTTTTACCTTTGTTTCCAAATCTTCTTCTTCCATCTGTCATCTCTTCTTTTTCTTTTCTCCTTAATATTGTGAACCTAAACTCTTCATCTTCTTTTCTCCTATGCCTCTTCGATTTTGATTACATTCTCTTGTTCGCCTTAGATTTCATATTTGTTGCAGGCACATAGATCCATCACTGCTACTGCATCTTTTTTCTGTCTCATGGCCAAAACCAGTGCTCACACAGCTACATCTAAAATCATCTCTATTTTCAGATCCATTCCTTGTTACTACAAAGAACGTATAGATAGAACAAGTGTTGGAAAGAGTGAAAAATTGTTTTAGTTTAGATCCATTTATTTTCTATTTTATCTCAGATTTTATTGTTTTCAGCCCAGATCTATTTTTTCAACAGAATCTTAAATTTTCTCTCTTTTATGATTTGATTGGCGTATTTGGGATACATCAGATCGTATGGTTGGAGGTGTCGAGTAAAAAGTTCAAGGTCAATATGTATATGCAGAAAATTGCTTTAGAATGGATGAATCGGTGATAGGATATGCTTGAATTTGTTGGATATGCTTCAAGTTGCTGAATAATTTTTGTTGGGTTGTGGATGCTCACGTCAGATTCAAGGGCAGAAGTGTAGAAATGTTGAAGGGCAATTTTGGAAAGTCAAACTTCTTTTTACACTCCCTTAAAAATGAGCTCTGGTCAAACCGGGAAGTTAAATATAGGACGGAGGGAGTACAAATTTTATGAAGTTTTAATATATATATAAAAAAGTTATTCTACACCAATTTTTAAATAGATTGAATTGAAAATAACAGACCAAGACAAAAGAAAAAGCTAATCAAGATACAACCTACCTTGTGGTAGTAAGTGATTGCTTTAGTAAACTTTCCCTGCATAAAGGAAAGAGTGAGCAACCGTGAAACATGTGGCATTCAAAATGTCTAATCAAATTCCTTTTCATGGATGGGCTGGAGCATTTGCAGTTACCTTCAGGTGATAAGTATAGGCTAGTCCTGCGTAAGTACTTAAACTTGTTGTTGACATTGCAAGAGCTTTTTTATAGTATGTAATTGCCTCATCGTACAACCTGGGAAAAAAAGGAGAAGAGACTTGAAACCAGTTAATGGGGATTAAAAACAAGAAATGTTTTAGAAGAATGCCCACTAGAGAGAGAATCATATTGTGATGACAGAGCAAGAGCTTGAAAATATTAAGGCAACTTCTGACTTTAAACGGGAAAATATGAGAATTAACTTGATCTTTGTAGAACCAACTAGAAAATAATATACTTAAAAGCTTCCAAATAGGAATAATAAAGTAGATAGACGTTCACATACTGCAATTTCCTCAATGCATGAGCAAGATTGACTACAGTTGGTTCCCACACCTCACTCAAGCTAGATGAGATCTGAGCCAACGTCTTTTTGAACCAATCGACAGCCTTAGTATACCTGAAATTGTCAGCCAGAAAAAAGAATGAAACAATCATGTTATCGCAACAATAGAAGACATTTGTTAAGTGAGGTTTATCACAAATGCCATTTAAGGTAAAGTTGAAAAACAAACAAATCAGAACCTAATTCCCATTAAGATGTGATTCAATACCTCGTTTGGGGTGGGTTTTAGTTTTCAGGTTTAAATAAAAACTACAAGCCAAATTTTAAAACATCACAGAAGCTTTTCCAGTTTTCTGTTACAGTTTATAAAAAATAATATGATCACTAAATCACAAAGAACATTAACTCAGATGTTTCAATTTGGTCATCAAAGATCTATTTTAACAAGTTCACATAAAATGCTACTACATCCAAAAATTCCCAAGGAGTGCACCCGTGAACAAATTTAAGGTCCATACTCATTCATATGATAAGCAACTACTCCAAGTTCATTGTATACAAGTGGATCAAAGGGGCATTTTTCCTTTGCCTGCATGAAAAACTGAGGAAACGATTTATTAGTTATTACAGCAATAGATTTATAAAAGGATACTATAAATAGAGGATAACTTTAAGCGAAAACAAATGCTCTGTATGTAAAGCCTGTGAAAGATGTTAAAATTCATAAGTTTATGACAATTACCTGCTCAGCAAGTTTGAAGCTGTGGGTTCTCATATACTCCATTCCAATGTATAAAGATGGCAAATGACAACTGAAATTAAAAAATATCAGAATTCAAACGACAAACACCAAAAGCCACAAAACAAAAACAAAAACATAACATAAGAAACATTCTACAAGTCAGTTTTAATAATAAATGACATGGAATATCCATATTACTAATTTGGTAAACTAGCATTCCATATGCCAATTTACTTCCTTCAAAAAAATATGTCAATATCCATCTAAGTTGGTTTTTTACTAAGATAAACATATAGCCGTCCCCTAATGTAAGTGTTCCTTTTTTTTAATCATTTGTGATGTGGGGTAGGTGTAAGATACTAAGATACTTCGTCCGAACCACTGTCCTCTTTTTTTCATTTCGAGCCTTTCTGGCGCGTCCCAAAATGTTTGCCTCTTACAATAGTTTGTACGAGTATGATTTATGTTGCTGAAAGCAACAAATACTTCATAGATTCATTATAAACCATACATTCCTCTTGGAAACAACCTCTCTACTTTGGAGTAGGGGCAAGGTCTGCGTACACACAACCTCCCCAGACCTTACACCAGGGTTATATTTGTATAAACCATACATTCAACTTCTTCTTGATTTGCATATTGCATATCACTTTCCCTTGCCACGGCCTTAGTGGAAAGGAGGGAATAAAAGATATCGGGATCCTTGAGTGAGGAGTCCTTGACCATTGCATATATCACCATAAACTCTTGTTGTCACCTTATGGAGATGAAAGACTATCAGTCAAATGTTTGTGCGAGTATGATCTACATGGCTGAAATCAATACATACTTTATAGATTCATTGTAAACCATACATTAAACTTTTTCTTGATTTGCACGCGCACGAGCGCGCACACAATCACACACACGCACGCGCAAAAACATGCGCACAACATTCTCTACGGGTGAGGTGATAGCTCATATTCTAACCATTTAGTGAGATTACCCGGGAAATAAGCGAGCAGCAGTACGGTAGGCTGACAATGCTTGATCTCCCTCTTCTCGAGCTGCATAAGCATTCCCACAACCTATCCATGCTGGAGCAAATGCTGCATCCAAACTAGTGGCCTTGCTGCCAAAACCAATAATAATAATTGTTTGGAGAACAACAATAGCCGATAGATTGACAATGAATCATAATGAATTTTGCCTAAACTACATCCAATAGTATTTCTGTTATTAAAGCGGTCAAACTTGAATGAGACCTCTAAACACCTAATGATGCACAAGTACTAAGCTTTTAAAATTCAACACGGATTATGAGTTTAAATTCTTTGGACACCCACATTGCTTTCTATCTAGTGGCAGGACAGACCCAACATAGAAATAATTTGATGAAAAATAACATCTAGGTAGATAAAACGAATACCTATAATAACGGCGTGCTTGGTCAAACTTTTTTATACAATAGTAGTAGCAACCAACTGCAAACCATGGCAATGGCCTAGATTAAACAGCACGCTGGTGAGTTGAAAAGAGTCAAAAAAGCAAGAAAATAAACAACAGACCACAACAATTACATTATTTTAAATGGAAAATGTGTGGCAAAGATGTCTTTGACATGTTTGCTAAAAATCCCCTGAAGGCTGAAGGTTTTTTTGTTATCACAGAAGTTACAGGCATTGAAGTAACTAGATTTCTACCCGTGCATTGCACGGAAATAAGAAAATTAGGCATTGAAGTAATGCATTGTATAAATAGTACTGGCCTAAAAACAAACCAAATAGAAAAAGAAATGTGTAATTAGCATATGAATGCAAAGAGCCATGGCAAAGATGGTAATAAGATGCTAATGCTGCTTTATTTTTTCTTAAGTACTCAGTAATAAGTGAGCGTGAGGAAACACGTGTATGCCAGTTAGCACCTACATTATGCTGAACTGGGTTTTCGAGCCATGTAAAGATGATGTGCCTTAGTGATGTGAAGAGGGTAGAAGCAAGGATCACATCACAATCACTCCTCGAAAAGATGATGGCAATTTAAGCAACTTGTTAGCCATTAGAGGTTTGTTTTAGCTTTTCTGTCTGTCTTTAGATAGTTGTTTGAAAAAACTTTAAAACATGTTTTTTTGTAAACCAGGCTTTAGAAACAGGTTCTACAAAAATCTCTATACAGCTGCTCCAAAAACTTGAAAAACAAATATGCTCTCACAGAACTCTTTTATCAAACACTTCTTACCGTTGTCCTTTATACCAAAAAGCTCTTTTTAAAACAGAACCTCTTGAAAAATGTCTTTTCCAAACGCCTCATAAATGAAGCATTCTAGTTATGTAGAGAACTACAGAATTAAAATAACTGATCGTATGTTGACTCATGACTCAAAGTTCAATTAAAAATAACAGTACTGATGCGTACTCACTGCTGAGGGTAGTCCTTAACTAAGTTGGATGCCATGAGATACAGCTCATTTGAGTTCCCCAGTTCCATTACTGCTGCCAAATGCACTAGCATAGACTTATAATGGAAAGGATCCTTCTCGAGTAATCTGAGTTACATTGTGATTATGAGGCAAGGATCAGCAAGGCAACACTAATTAGATAACCAAGTAAAATGTTAATTGTACTCATCCAAATAAGATTCAAACTTACGTGGATGTTAGTTCAAAACATTTTTGATATTCGCCGCACTGATGATAGTACTCAGCTTTGCATGCCAAGAGATCAGTATTTGTCTTGAGTGTGCACATTACGGATTTGTCTGAAGTTTTTATACCAGGTCCATCACGTTCTAGTTCCCTAAATTTGGCTTCCACTATATTCTCGTTATCATACTGCAAAACATAATTATAAATAATTATTTGTTCACATTAACCATGCTGCAGATTGAAAATTAGTGATTTTTATGTTTAAAAACAACAATTTTTAAAGGATCACCAGAACTCATGAAGACATAATAGGACCACCCGCACAGAAAATAACATAATCTATATGAAATTCTTACCTTCTTTATCATGCAAGAATAAAAAGAAGAGAGCCACCCATCTTCAGAACTAAACTGCAATGACAAGAGTAGGCTAGCCTCTGATGAAAAGCAACAATTAAAATTAGTGACTAGTAAATGGACCTCTTCATGATTCATGAGCAAAACAAACACAATTTTATGAATACTATTCCCAGTGAACTGGACTACTGAAGTCTCAAAGTGACTTCCTAATGTACTCATATATGTCTGCAGTTCGAAAGCACTTATAAATTTATACTTTATTTTTCAGCACCCAAGCCCTGCAATTAATTAGAGTGTAATACAGGTTAACCGATTGTTACCTTCATCACAAGTGAGCATATGATTCTCTACAAGGCATGCCAGGGCCTGTAAAAGGAGAAAAGAAATTAAAAAAGAAATTAAAATTTATATCTATTCGCTTGACTTAGAGGAAAAAAATTTCCAGGATATTCCTTTCAGTCAAGGAAAAACAACAACAATAACCTAGCTGGAAAACACACCAATGCAAATTAAAAAAACAATAATCACATAATCTATGACAAATAAGACTGCATACTTCATAACACAGAGGATCAGCTTTGATGGCAGCTTTGTACCTGCATAAGAGAAATATTTGAGTAAAGCCGTAAAGGTTTACTTCCTCCCAATAAAATGCAAATATATGCTGTACATTAATTTTTATTTGGTGGTTTGGACTGTTTAGTTGGGTCCCCCTCGTGTTTGTGGGTGAATGTGACTATTAAGAACATCATTTTTTTATCTTTGGTGAATGAAATGGAAATTGAACCTTTGATTTTAATTAGCATATTTGTGTTGTTTTTGCAGAAAGAGGATAGAACATTGGTTAAAATTAAATTTATATATATGTGTGTGTGTGTGTGTGTGTGTCTATATATGTAATTATGTATGCACTGCAATGTGTGTATGCATGTTATACATCAAGAAAATGAAGAAACTACAATAATCATGAATAGATGTGAGTTGGAAATAGAGAACCTACCAAAAATTTCAAACAAGTACTCCATATAAAAGTATTGGTGTCCATTGCCAATGGAACTATGAGAGTCATTTTTGGCAATTTATTAGCTTCGCATAAAAAATGGACTAAATCAAAATAGCAGAGTAAACTTCTCATGCTTCTTACTATACATGAAGAATTAGGCGGGTTTAAAAGAGACAACCTCCCGACTCCCTGTTATTTATAGGGGTAAGGTTGAGACGTTGAGTACAACTTGGCGCAGCAGAGTTGGGATTATACTTGGTATTTTTGTTATTATTGTTGTATAAAAGTATTTCGAAAACAACTATACTTACCATAGTGTAGCTTGTGCACGATTCTCCAATGCTTCAGATGCCTTGCCCCTCAAGAAGCATATTGCAGACAAAATCTACCATAATAAAAACACTACATGAACTGTATTACTGAGAGAGTATGTAACTGAGAAGATTACTATTGTTAGGCACAAAGTTTCCTTTCAAACAAACAAAATACAATGGTGACCCAAGAGAGAGAGAGAGAGAGTAAAACATACATTGATTTCACGATCTTCACCATCCTTGTCAAGGTACATGCTACTACAATCACCAAGTGCAGTAACATTTCCATGTTCATCCACCTTGACATTACCAAGAATATGTTGACACTGTTCCCACTCTTTCAGTTGCCCCTGCAATAATAGAAACTCATAAAAGCAAAGGAGAAGATATTACAAACATTCATTAGATTTTGAAATCTTGAATCAAGTATCACAATTACATCAATATTAGTTATGCAGTAAATTCAAGCATTCTCTTCATAAGGAATAAAAAATGAACTTAAGTACACAATTAAATCAAGTTCATTTGTCAAAGAAATTAAATCCCGTTATCCCTGTCGATGATGGGAAGCTCATTGCATTGGATTATCATCTTCATTGTGTTACTCGGACAAGATTGATGAAAGCTTGGAAAACGGCAGAACTGTGGTACCAAGATTAAGATGAGAGCACAAGAAAATGGATATAGAATTTCAACTAGAAAATTGAACATTTTCAAATATTTTATCTTTTAAGCCCTTATCAAGGAAAATGATAAATGCACAAGAATTTTCTTACGTACAATAAACAGAATAAAGCTAGTCAAAATGAATGTGGTTAATATAAAATTCAATAATAAGGATGTTTTAGTAGCCAATAACGTGGACTTTAAGATAAAAATTCATCAACCCTCTTACAATTTCCTTCCGCACATGAATTAATCATGCAAGCAACAAGATGACAGGTGTTGTTACTTGCATTGTAATTATGGGTTCAATTTATGTAGAAATCATAAGAATTAACCATTAGTGAATTGATAATTCGGATTCAAGTTGAATGGTCTAAAACCCAATATTGTGGCTGGAAATTCTAATCTAAAAGTCAAAACAGACTAGACCAGCACCAAACATGTATGACAATCCATACCCCCAAAAAAAATTGGTCTGTAATGACCGATGACAGATGGCATAAGGAAAACATTTCTGCCATAAACCTCCATTCTTCAAAAAATTCTAATTTTGGCTGGAACAAAAACCACCACGATATTCAGGCATGGCAGCCATTTTTGTATTACCTAACATTGAGAGATACACGGGAGAATACTGGCTTAATTAAGCTATCAAAGGTACACAGTACAGAAAGTTATAAAATTATTTGGTCTTGTCAAGTTGAGTTAGAAACAGCAAAATAGGGATCATTTAATTCCTGTAACCCTAACAAGGAGTAAAGAAAACCAATTTACTCATTGTTTCCTGCATTTAGAGGCACGCCAATATAAGTCACTTCCAGACACATAAGAATTGAGAGAATTGAGAGAATTCCGGATAAACATGAAGGAGAAATAGCGCAGGTACCAGGCACTTGGCAGCAAGATACCGGAATCGCAGGTCGCGGTTAAGAGTTTGGGAAGAATTGAGGAGGTGGAAAGAACGGCGGTAATGGCCGCCAATGTAGAGAGCTTGCGCCTGCATATAGATGTCGGTGGGGTCCGAAGTCATCGCAGCCACTTTATCGGCGAAGAAGACCGCCGACGAGTACAAGTGCTTGCTGACGCAGTCCCTCACCACTCCTCTTAGCCTGTCGATTTCTTCATCCCTCATTTTCTTAACTCTTATAGCTCAATATATCTACTCGCCGCAGTTCGCCGGGAAGTACTGTGATAAGGGTTCTGCGCTGAAGGAGAGGGCCACGGTTTTACTAGACTGAAAAGAGCGGGAGGTTGTTTTGTTATTTGTAAATTGTATTTGGCCGCAAAAAAATAAATAAATAAAAATAAAATCTGATTATATTATATTTATAATAATGAACTGTCATTTTTAAAGTGTTTGAAATTTATACTAGCAAGAAATGTAAGTTATAGAAAATATTTATAAAATAGGAAAAAATTATTTATAAAAAATGTTTATAAACTTTAATACACGCCAATCAATGCTATTAAAAACGCGTGTATGATTATTCTTACCATAATTATATAATTATATGATTACAGTGTGACTAGGTTATATAAAAAACGTGTGTATGATTATAGTATAATATAATTATGGTAAGAATAATTATACACAAAGTTTCGAAAAAAAATTGATACGGTAAAACCCTTTAAATATATATATTTATATTTATGTTTAATAGCAAGAAAAGTAATAACCAAAAAATGTAAATATTATTACTTCGTGCAATTATTACCTATATAAATGGTAAGTTTTCGAAATTATAGTGTCCATTTTTAACCCGTGCACGAAGTATGGCAATTGTGAAATTAAATGGTAAGTGTCTAAAATTATAGTAATATAAAATGGTAATTTTCATGTTAATATAATTATTATTTTTATAAGCATGGTAAAAAATTATTATTTTTATAAGTGTCCGAAATTATGATATTAAGCACGCTATTAATGAAATCTAATTACTTACTATGTCAAATTAATTATAGTAATTTTAGTTATAATAATTTTAATTAAAATTGTATATTACGTGTGATTACCGTGTCAAATTAATTATCGTAATTTTAAGTATAGTAATTTTAATTAAAATTGTATATTACGCTATTAATGAAATCTAATATTACGTGTGGCTACATAATTGTATATTAATTATCATGTCAAATTAATTGTAGTAATTTTCATTATAGTAATTTTATAATAGCTATACTTTAATTATGGTGGCTATATTTTATCGTGGCTATATTTTACTATATTTTAATTATAGTTGTTGGGTTCAGGGACCCGGGGCCTAGGAGACTAGGCGGAAGAGTATCGAACTGAGTCGACAGTGCACAAGTTAGGAATCAAGTAGATTGTAAGTATTATATATTGTGCTAAAATGAGAACGTCCCTCTCCCTTCCCTCCAGAAAGGGTTTATATGCAAACTACAACTGAGGGTTCCCGACCGTTGGTCAAGCGTCCAACAGTTCGGGCCCACTAAGATTGGGTCATTCACCGGCGGCGCCTAACCACATCATTATTCCTAGGGCGGCTATACAAAATAGGTTACAAATAGGGTGGCTAAAACAACTCTGCCAGAGGTGTGGCAGGGGTCCAATTGTGGGCCCCTTGATCTTGACTGGTTAGGCAGCTCTCATGTCTATGGTTCTGGCCCGTTGATGCCTTGGGCCGAGGCCGAGTATGCGGGAAGTAATCCAATACTGAAGGGAATTCTAAATTTGAAAAATCTTGGCCGTGTATAGGAATCCCCCACTGCTCAATCTGAATGTCAATGAAGGTTGGGGAGTGCTCAAGGCGGCAAGATTTTACACGTGTCAGTTTCGAAATTTGAAAATCATGATTACATCGTTGGGATATGCAACGTTTCTGTCATGTTCTCCTGTCGGCTATTTGTGTAACACCCGCCTTCCGTGCACCCGGTTCACCCGCGACCCAACGGACCGGTAGGGTTACATGGCCGGTCCGAGAACCGTCCGTAGAGGAAAACGCATTAATGTCCATTTATTGTGAAAACGGTTGTGTTTAATTAGTGGAATAAATGCTAGGGAGTTAATTCCAAAACGTGTGTGATTTAAATACAGAGTAAAAGCGGAAGTAAATAATTAAGTAAAACGACAAATGGTGGGTGCATGCCCAAATGTTTAATTAACTCAAATGATTATAATTATTAAACTCGTCCGTGCGCCGCCCATCTTCTCATCATCACTGTCCTCCAGGGTTGGCACCTGTACCGTCATGTCTACCTGCGTGTAGCAAAAACAACTACACGCTCAGCAAAAGCTGATGAGTGAATCTAACAAAAGAACATTAAGTGATAACCCATATAGCTATACACATATTAACACATGTACTTTAACGTACGGTAAACCACATGTTTACTAACTGATTAATTTGCACCTGATGGATATTATTAAACATAACAAAATGAATAACAACCACATTGAATATGGACATGATGGGAATCATACATGATGACGACAACCACATTGAATGTTGACGTGACATGTAACATACATGATGACGATATGACTTGATGCATGTTTTAAACTAACACGGACACCCCTGACTTAGTCTCACTTGACAGGATCACCCCTGCACTCCGGTAATGAGTCGGGCTCGACGAAAATGTCGCAAGTGAACTAGCAAAACTGGCTGGTAGCCATAGCCTGACTACCATGTACGTACACAAAGCCCACCTGATGAAAACCCGTTGGATCCCAAAGGTTCCTGGACGGGCCCACTGTAGTAGGCGCACGAAAGCCTGACCTCCCTACAGCGGTATGCACATGATGATGAACCTAGGACATACGTCTAGGATGAACACGATGACATGAATGCATTGATTAAAGAAGGAAGTTAAATTTAATGCGTACATCTGTGTTTGAATACAATTTGTTCAACATGATGGCCTTAGGTTCAGAACTGGCTGATAATCGATTGTCTACTGCTGATAATCGATTATCATGCTGTGCTGCTTCTGTCCTCAAGGTCCTGCAGACTGTGATAGTCGATTGTCACCTTATGATAGTTGATTGTCAAGTTGGTTTGTTCAGGAAGGCCTAAGTTCAGAGAGCCCTGATAATCGATTATTGCTCTGTGATAATCGATTGTCAAGTGAACCAGCTCTAACTCAAGAATCCGCAGGGTCTGATAATCGATTACCACTTATGTGATAATCGATTGTCACACTATGCTGGATCAACTGAAGAGTTCAGCATGACCTGCATGACCTGATAGTCGATTATTCCGTTCTGTAAATCGATTATCAAGGCACGATGATTCCCATTTTGACTGTTTGGTTATCATCAATACATTGGGAGTTTTTTGAAACGAACGTTTATGATTACATGTTAAGTATTCCATGAATATACGGAGTTTCAAAATGCTTGTATTAACGAGTTCGTAACTTGATAACACGGACTCACGTATGTTTGATGGTTAACCTACGAACATGCATAGATCTTACGTAGGTTGCGTACAATATTCCTATGAATATAACGACATAGATTATAACTAAATGTTCTAGAATTAGAGGGACAACTACTCACCTCTAAACGATGGGGTTGATGAAACGTAAGTGAATTGAACGGATGGATGACGAATGGACGAACGAATGAATGAACGACTTCTCGCGTAGCCCTCCTTCTCTTCTACCTCCTCGTCTTCTCGCCGGAAACTCCCCCCTTGGCTGCTGTTGTCTTGACCGAATACAAGTGAAGGAGGATGAGGGTTGTGTGTGTGTGGGAGTTACAAAATGTGGTGGAGGAGGTGAAGGGAAGGGGCTAATATATATTGAATGGAAATTAATAGAATAATAATGGGCATTAGTTGTAAGGGAAAATGAATGGTTTGGAGGTGTGGATGGCGTATGGATGATGGGGGTTACAAATGTTTATTTTACTCCGTTATGTAAAATCTAACGTGAACGGTACACGGTTTTTCCCTCGAACGGGTCCAAATTGAGATCCATTTGTGTTTTTGGAATCAGACAGTCAAGACGAATTTAATGACATGTTAAAATAATTTTTCCAAGAACTTTATTTTCAAACTTCAGGGTCCACCCCAATCATTAATTAATTTATTTATTTAATATTGAGAGGTCCGTTATTAAAACATCTTTTATAATTAAAATACATTAGCTTTGGAAATCCATTTAAAGAGATCAAAATCTGAATATTTATTAATTTAAAACAATGAGTCTCAATAAATAAATAATATTTATTTATTTAAAATATTGGCTATCTGTTAGGCCGGTTTGTAGGCCGTTACAATTTGTGACGGTTCATGATCGCACGCGTGAAAATGTGCCACGTTTTTCATAACCACTGTCTTGTTTGGATCGGGTCGGATCCGTGTATATAAAAGTGAGAAAATCCCCCAAATCCTCTTCACCCATTGTCGCTTTACACCGCACATCCGCCGTTGATTCTTGCTGCCTCTCTTTCTCAGCCGCCATCGCCGTCGCATTCTACTCAGAAGGTTAGTCCATTTCTCCCTGTCTTCATGGCCTTTTCTGAATGTGCGTCCACTATCCCCGTTGTCGACCCAGCGGAGGAAGATTTCGAAGGGATGTACCAGCTGAATCCACTCCTCCGTCCTGACAGTGTGATGGGCGGGTTCGGATGCGTCCCGATTTTGGATGTGGTGCCTCTACGCACGATGGTCGCCGTGGCATCGTCGTCCAGGGCGCCGCCTTCTAGGGCCAAGAAACCGAAGGCCGCTAAGAAAAATACCCGCAAATCCCTACCCTTACCGTGCTGGAAACGGGTCCCGTTACAAATACGGGTTGCCAGATGTTAGATACCGATTTTGATGGAGCCCTTCGTTTTGTGGGGGAGGGGTAGTACTCCGACCGCACGCGACCAACCATGTCTTTTCCGTGACCTGTCCTGACGCAAAGGTCGGGGTGCACGTGTCGTCAATGCGCTACGGTCTCCGATTTCCCCTTCATGAGTTAATAGTTCAATTTTTGAACTTCTATCGCCTTCTCCCAGGTCAGCTCAGCGCACATTCTTATTATTGCTTCTCGAGTTTCCTAATCAAGTGCCATGTGAAGGGAGTCCCCTGGTCTCTAGACTTGTTTAGGTATATGTTCAAAGTCTCCCGGATTGGCCGTCATGAGGGGAATTCGTACACCGTCGTGTCTTCCCAAAGTGAGTGTGGAATGGTCACTCTCTCTACGTCCCTCAAACTGTGAAAGGCCAAATTTGTCTTCATCTCCGGTTTTCCTGGGGACCGACACCCTCTTGAGGCGAGGTTTCCCGAGTGTCATTCCTTCATTCGCCACCCCCGCCCAGAGGCCACCCCGGAACTTCTCGCACACGCGCAGAAACTCCTGGAAGACTGACGGCCCAAACCACCCCACGTGTACACAGTGTGCACGGAGCAAAACCTTGGGAAGGTGGGAATCCTTATCTCTCTCGAGCGGAAATTCGAGTTGGCCGAAGCCGTGAGGGGGGCTCGTCCCATGCACGGTCTCGAAGGGACCGCCCCAGGTCCGATGGCAGAAGAACCAGAGGAGGCGAATGAGGATGAGGAGATAGAGGCCGATGACGAGTCGGGACAACCGTCCTGCTCCGAGGATGAGGTTGATGCGGGGTCCTTTGAAGGTCTGCCCTTTGCCTTAGGATTTTTCCCTTTATCATTGATGTTGATTCTTCACCCGTGCTATATCTTGGAAGAAACATGCAGCAGCTCCAAGTCGCACGGAAGGTCAAGGTGCTAGCCCAAAGCCGAGGCCGAGAAGAGGAGACGCATCGCGGGCCGCCATCCAGGGATACCTCAAGATCTGTCGCAGCCGGCTCCGACCAGGAGGTGGTTCCGACCTAGAACCAGAGGAAAAGGAAGATCCCACCAATGTTGGGTTCAAGGACCTGGAGCCTAGGTGACTAGGCGGAAGAGTATCGAACTGAGTCGACAGTGCACAAGTTGAGAATCGAGTAGATTGTAAGTATTATATATTGTGCTAAAATGAGAACGTCCCTCTCCCTTCCCTCCAGAAAGGGTTTATATGCAAACTACAACTAAGAGTTCCCGACCGTTGGTCCAGACTCCAACGGTTCGGGCCCACTAAGATGGGGTCATTCCCCGGCGGCGCCTAACCACATCATTATTCCTAGGGCAGCTATACAAAATAGGTTACAAATAGGGTTGCTAGAACAACTGTGCCAGAGGTGTGGCAGGGGTCCAATTGTGGGCCTCTTGATCTTGACTGGTTAGGCAGCTCCCATGTCTATGGTTCTGGTCCGTTGACGCCTTGGGCCGAGGCCGAGTACGCGGGATCTGCTCCCCGAAGCCCCCTGGCGGAAGGCCGGTCGAGGGTGATCCAAGGCTGACCAAGTCTGCCGGGGCCGAGTATGACTCGTGCAAGAGTGGCCTTCCTGAGACTTCAGCTTCCTCCCGCCTTTGCCCAGTTAAATGGGCCTAGGCATGCTTGGGTTGGGCCAGATACCCCCATTCCAGGGTATCCATCAATAGTAATTTTAATAAAAAAAGGTAATAATTAACTAAGGTATTAATTATATAACCGTATGATTACATAATTTTATACTTCGTATTAATTACCGTGTTATTTTAATTATAGTAATTTTAAATATAATAATTTAAATAATTTAAATATAGTAATAGTAATTTTTAAGTATTTAAAGATGGTAAGAAATTAAAATGTCTAAAATTATAGTAATGTAAAATGAACTATAACTACTCTAAGAATTAAATATCCTTTAAATATATATTTACATTTAATAGCAAAAAAGGTAATAACAAAGAAAGGTAATAATTAACTGTTATTTTTAAAGTGTCCGGAATTATACTAGCAAGAAAGGTAATAATCAAAAAAGGTAATAATTGACCATGGTATTAATTATATAACCGTGTGACTACATAATTGTATATTAATTACCGTTTTAAATTAATTATAGTAATTTTAATTATAGTAATTTATTATAATAATTTTATAATGGCTATATTTTAATTATAGTGGCTATATTTTACTATATTTTAATTATAGTAATTTTAATCAAAAAAGTTAATAATTAACCAAGGTATTAATTATATAACCCTGTGACTAGATAATTATATACTCCGTATTAATTACCGTGTCAATTATAGTAATTTCAATTATAGTAATTTTAATTATAATAAATTAAATAATTTAAATATAGTAATAGTAATTTAAATTCGTTATAGCACTTTGAAAAGCGAATAATATTTTTAACCTCGTATGTAAAAATCATATTATAAATGCATTAATTTACAAGCTTTCATAGCCATTACATTCATCGTGAATTTTTTTCCCTACGTTTCAAAAATGTCATTCCTACAAAAAATGAGGATCTTAACTGCTTTGAAAAATGTTGATGAGCGGTCATCAATGTTAATGATGAAGCTACGAGCAATTCGGGTTTATCACAAGTTTCTGTAACAATAACCCAACATATTTTAGTCATGGACAAGTCTATGTTGCATTTTCAAAAGTAACTAATCATAGTGGGCTGAAGATTCTGATATGTAATGAAGACAATATTCCCACAAATTGTACAAATAATGTAGTCTATAAAGAAGTCTTTCGAAATTTGTAAAGCTGTGATGTTTTGTACCTTAAAATAATATAATCCCTATATTCTATTGCATCTCATTTTTTATCATTGAAAAAAAATTTGAATTTAATAACATAAAAATGACCCGTGCAGCGCACGGGTGTGATACTACTTAGTATATCGTGGAAGAGAGTGTTTTTTTCGCAGATTTTCTCAAATCAATCCATCTTGTAAAAATCAAACACGCATAATCAACAATAATTATTTTTTAAAAAAAGTTACGTTTCCATCTTTAAATCTACTACAGTTTTACTTTTTTGATTAAACTGTAACACACTATGGGCCTGTTTGGGAATAGCGTTAGAGATTAGCGTTAGTGTTTTGGATAAAATTTTAACGGTGCAGATTATTTTGAAAACACTAACGCTAAACGCTACCCGTAGATAGCCTTTTCAAAACGCTAACGCTAATAGCTAACGCTATTCCCAAACAGGCCCTATGACCGCGAATTATAGAAAAAGTATTTTTATTTATAATCTAAATTTGGTGAAATTGGATTCATTTTGAAATATAGTTTTGAAATATCTAATTTTTATAATATCTAATTATTTTAAACTATATTTAATTAGTGATCAAAAGTTGGCACAGTTTAACTAGAAAAGTCAAACTGTGACAATCTTTTATAGCTAGGGGAGTACTATTTTTAATAAAAAAATCAATATTCCCCAATTGTAAAAAAAAAACTCAATCGTCAATTATGTCTACTTATATAGTTTTATATTTTTATGCTCATATTTTTGTAAATTTTTATTTTATGCAATTTTATATTTTATTTTTTAGAAACAAAACACATTTTTTATGCAATTTTATACCGCGCATTTTGTTTTGGGCCTTGGTTTCTCTCGCAGCCATCTATATCCAGTTTTGACCTCAAACTTCCCTTCCCTTGGCATGTCGGTAAATTTTTTCCTTACCTTCACCATATGTTTCCAGTACTAATCAGGCTTAAGCACATAGTCCCATATATCACACCTTTTAATGTACCTGGTGTGTATCCATTTTATCCAAAGAATATTCTTTTTCTCAGATATATCCCTGCGAGTTTCATGATGGCAGAGTAATTCCAGTGTAGAATGTTTCTAAGTCCCAGTCCCCCATTGTAATGCCCCGAAAATAGACCTATCAGAACTAATTAATTTATAATTAATTACTAAGAAGAATCCAAAAATAAGTGATTTATAAAGTTTGTCAATAAATAATGAAAATTATATCGTTATGTAGAGTTTGACTGTCTGACCGCAATGGTTCAATCAGATTTCAATTTGGAGAAAGTTGGACCAAAAAGTGTATCCTGAGACTAAAATTAGTCCCGTAGAAATCGCCGCTCCCTCCACCAAGACGCCAAAACAGTAGCAAAGGGAGGTCATCAATCATGTCTCCTTCCTATTTCCTTCCACTATAAAAACCCCTCAAAACTTCATCAATCTTCTTCCAAAAGATAGGAGTATTGTAGTGCTATCAATTTGGTGCGAAGTCGCTGGAAATAGCCATAAATGTCCCCGGAAGTTTCGTCGGAAAATTCTCAAAACCTTCATTAAGTTTCGAGGTAAGCCCGTAGATATATCTAGTGACTAACTGTTCGTATAGATCGTTTCTACATTTATAAACGGTCATTTGGTTGAATTTTGTATTTGACATGTTTGAAAAACTAAGAATCATAAACCTTGAAATTGTTGTTAAAACTACGAACTAATGATACCAAAATGATCCATGAACCCAGGAGAACATTTCTATATAGTTTAATTGAAGTTTGATGACTAAAAATGTCATTTCCGAAAATTGGCCTGATGTTGAAGATGACACTGTTCAAAACTACGCGCAAAACGATAACCAGCTACCGTCCGGACGGTACCTTGGTAGCGTCGGCATGGTAGGTCGTACCGCCGGGACGGTAGGCTAGCTACCGTCTCCACCAAGAAAACTGCCTTTCTCTGGCGGTACCTAATGATCGGCGGTACCCTGTACTGTCGGCATGGTACCGAGGTACCATTAGCCGAACTGAGGTACCATGAAGGGTACCGTCTGATATGATATTTTTCCAGAAAACCTGACTTTTGAACTATTAAATCCTATTTTTGATACCAATCAATTATGATCAATGTGAATATGATTTCTGGAAATAAAAACGATATTTGATAAATACAAGAACTTGTTTGATGCATGACGGTAATCTAGGGTGTTAACAGTCGACGCTAGACCGCTAATTATTATTGAATATTATGATGATTATTGTTATGGATGATAATGATGAATTGATGAACCTACTGATTGAAATGATTATTGTGAATGATTGAATCATGACTTAAAAATGAATATATTGATGATTATAATATATTGAATTTAAGGGTATCTAGAATAACTCTAAGATATACCCATAGTAATGTTAATTTTAAGGGTACCTAGAAGAACTCTAAGATATACCCAAATGACCATTTTAGTTAATTGATATTGATTTCAAGGGTATCTAGAATAACTCTAAGATATACCCATAGTGATATTGATTTTGAAGGGTATCTAGAAGAACTCTAAGATATACTCATTTAAGTTAGGCCTTGCGGGTATGATGCCCGGTGGCCACGGTTAAAACGTACGTACGGGATCCACAAACCAAACTTGAGTACCTACTCGTTTGGGGGTACCACCCACCCGACAGTGAACATTCCGCTGTTCGGTTTCAAGTTGACCTTAAGATCTTAAAAACCTTTTTGAAAATGTGTATCTTAAACTAGGCTTAGCTTAAGGGGGTGTTTGTTTTTTCTGCAGGAAAAGGTCTGCGGTCTGCGAACCACTACTGTAGACATCTACAGGAGAAGTGGTGGACCGAAGGTGTGCGGTCTGCAAGAAGAAGACTGTTTGTTTTTTTAATGTCTGCAGACTGCTATATAAATTAATGGTGGTAGTGTACGGTGGTGGTGTATGGACGATTGTACGTGGTGGTGGTGTATGGATGATTGTGGTGGTGGTGGAGGGTGGTGGTGGATGTTGACGGCGGTGGTGGTGGACGGTGGCGGTGGACGGTTGTGGTGGTGAAGAGAAGTAGAAAAAAAGGAGAAGATGTTAGAAGATGTTAGAAGACATTGGTTAATGTATTTTCCAAGAAGATGCCAGGAAGACCTTTTTGAGTGAAATGTCTTCCAAAAAACAAACAATCTGCAGAGCCCATCATCTGCGCGCCGCAGACAAAAGACGCCAGAAGGTCTTCTCGCAGAAAAACAAACACCCCCTAAGGGTTGGTTAGAAATATCTTAAACTAGAATCAGTTTAAAAATTAAATTGGCCTTATACTAAGAATAATTTATGAGCATTATTGACACTATGAATGTTAAATATGAACGATGAATGTGAATACTTAATGTTGAATAATAAATGATGAATATTGAATATTTGAATTGAACATTATGTGCATGATATTTGTTAACGCATCAACACTTTGTGTCAGTGCAAATTTTTATTAACACAACAACACTTTGTGTCAGTGTAAACCATCAAAATGTTTATGCGTACTTTTAGTGTACAAATGAGGTACAAATTTTGGGCTGCATGTAGCATGCTCCTTTATTTTTTTACACTTTTGAGTTGTTTGTAATCAAAATTCACAAAACCGAACCAAATTTCACCTATAAAGTACATTTAAATTTATCGTCACTAAATTTATTTTGAAATTTAATATTTCCTTCCTTTCTAAAAGATTCTCATAGTTTTACTTTTTTTAATCAATTTGCAGCACCATTTAATCGCAATATATGAAAAACGTATATTTTATTATAACATAAATTTATTAAAATTGAATTTATTTTAACATATATAGCTTTGAAATATCAAAATTTTATAGTAATATCTATTTATTTAATTTGTAGTCAAAATTTGTCACATTTTGACCAAAAAAATCAAACTGTAACATTTTTAGGGACGGAGAGTACTTAAATTTTATATACTCGGAGTATACGTACATTTACAATTAATAACAATCAAAACATTATTATCCGAGATCATGAAAAGAAAGAAAATATAAATTGAGACAGGAAATATAAGAGATCGAATTGAGGAGGATTTGAGGCAAAACAAGTTTTTATGGAAATAATCATCATACAATATACAGCTGAGATTCCTGAAACTACTAGCTGCTAGCCTCGCATTATAGGAAAAACTTTCTAAGATCACGGCCCAACCGGTTCTGAGAGGACCCTTTGGGATGAGTGTTTTTTTTTTGTTGGGTGCAGGAAACTCAAGAAATTGTCTGTCAGTACCCTAATAATAATAATAATAATAATAATAATTTCTCCCTCCGTAGTATTCCAGTGCATAAGGCCAACACGCGTACAGGGAAGGGAATAAATGAGTCCCACTTTGGCCGACTTGAACTGGTGATTGATAAATGACATTCAAGTGGGGGCTACTATAGTATTATTATTATTATTATTATTGGGGGATCAACGAAGGTACACTTGAGATTGAACAACAGTTTTACCTACCATGAACCCAGGAACCACGGTGAAAGCCACCCGAGGTTCGCTTTCCGGCGTCCGGTCCGATGAAAACAGGAATGCCTCGTCGCTCACGCTCTCCATGTAAACTTCCGAAAACCGGCTTCCCCGGCTCGCTTGAAAGATGGAAGCCTCTGGATCAAAAGAGAAGGCCAGGCAATGTAGGAGCCAAACGCGCTTTGCCATTTCGGCAAATGTAGAGAAGAAACAAGTCTCCGGGCACTCGCCCGATTTCACCAAGTTCCTCTGGTCCAAATTGCCAAACAGGGACTGTTCCATTCTTGTGTGGACGAGCCGCAAGTACTTGTTGCAGCAGAACTTTGCGAATTCAGAGTTTGGTTTCCACACGAGGTAATCGGTTGCCTTCACGGGCTTCAACTCCTCGAATCCGTCAAAGAACAATAGTTTGTGTCTGGTTCTGGTTTCCACCTGGTGGGGTTGAATGGAGAAGTTGGGGAGATTGAAACCATCAAACATCTCTCTGCAGACAAAGGATTCGAACGTGTAGCATTTGTGATTTGCTTGCCAGAAAGTTAAACCGGGCACGATCGCACTGGCTGCCACATCTAAATCCCACCCTGCGAATTCCATCTCCTTGACAAGGAGCCTCACAAAGTTCCGAATTGATTTCGTTGCCTGGCGAAGCGCCGCGATTAAATGGCTGGGGTTCAATCCCGAGAAGTTAAGAATGTCGGGAACGGATAATTGCCCGCTTGAGTTCAATCTCTTCTCCATCATTTTGTTTTCCTTTTTCGCTTCTTCCAGTTTCTCCCTCAAGAACGTGATCTCCGAATCCTTGAGTCTTACCTGAGACTCCAGCTTCTTTCCTTTGATTTCATAAATTTTGAGGATGCAATTCTGCTCCTTGATTTCAGACAAAACCAGTGTCCTATCAGGTGAAGGATCCTCAATCTGTTTCTTCAAGTAGCATTGTTTCAGTTCAGACAAACACTTCAACTCAGACACCACCATCTGGTCCGCTGCATGAATCGCATCAGGGTCATAAGGAGACTGGGCATATTGCAACTGGGCGTACGCTGCTTTTATAGCCGATATACTAGCAAACAGTTTGGCAGTAAAGGCTTCTATTGACACTTTCTCCGTTAGTGTTTCCTCTTCATCATCCCAAGTGTTAAACTGCAGCTGCTTCAGGAAATCTTTCTTAACTACATCAGTTTTCACTTTTTCGTGGAACTTCTTGGATCGTTGATTTCCATTAGCATCACCAGGCATGGCTCGAATGTGCATAACCTTGGCAAAAGTACGACCCAACTTACTTCTGCTTGCAGTAACCAAGGGCTGGTGCCCGGAGTGATAATCCTCCATCTGTACCAAATTCACAAAATTGGCCATACCAAAAATCAGGGTTAAAGAGTAAAGACCAATAAAAAGGGATGATATTATCTAAATATAATCATAGCATGTCTGGCAAAAAGAGAAAAGCAGCATCCTAAATTCTTAGATTTAGTCCAATATGGCCCTACATGCTTATTAAAGTTTCAAAAAGTGGGTGTAAACAGATGGAAAAGAAAGAAATGAATGAATGAATGAGGTAAAGAAAGAGAGGATAACATCTAATATATCTAATCAGCATGCTTCAAATAAAGTCTAAAGTTGAACATTATTATAAATGCTACAGTATACTTATCACTCCGTGATTGTATTATCTTACTCCCTCCGTCCCAAAAAGTCAGTTACGTTTCAAAAAATTTGCGTTCCTTAAAGTCTTATACATTTCTATTAAAAAACTATTTTTACCCCTTACTTTTTCATACCCTACCTATCACATCATACCTTTTTTCTAATAATCTACCCATCACATCCTACTTTTATCCATCACATCAAGGGTATTTTTGGAAAGTCAACACCAAAATATCTCTCCTTATTTTACCACTTTAGTCAAAATGTATCAATCTTTTTGGGACGAAGGGAGTATTTAGTAAAGTGATGATGTAAATAAATGTCCACAGTCCACATGGAAAAACAACCTTCCCAAATACGGAGTAAATTTCACACTATCTTTTCATCTGTTCCAAAAAAAACTTTCATCTTTCTCCTATAATACTCACTAAGTCCAATAATTATATTCCTATCTTATTTGAGTTGTCCCAAAGTTTTCATACACTTTTTTTTACAAAATAAAATTCTGTGGTCCATATTATTTCTTCTTCATCTAAACAAGCCACAACCACACAAAATTATTTTATTAAATATCATGCCAAGTATAAAAACATAAATTACAGGGGGGGGGGGATGTTATAAATATTCAACATGACTAGGTCATCCTATGGAAACAACGTTTGGAAGTAAGGTTAACATTTTGAATAACTTTGTTAAATGTACATATTAGCTTGGGTGGGGTTCCCATGACATTGGAACCCAATGTCATGGGAACCTTGGTGTATTAGCTTTGAAGTTATAAGCTACTGTTGTTGTTGCTGTTGTTGTTGTTTAACTTAAGCCACTGTTGAACAGAAATTCCAAAATAGTAAAGCTAAATATTAAAGTGAATGTCATACGGCACCTACATGAGACCCATTATTTTCAACAAAAGGGCCATTGAACAATACAGAGAGAATAGGCTGCAACAGTTAATAAATCATCTGCGGACAAGGAAGGTCGAGTGGGAGAGATAAAGAAAGAGGGGAAAAAAGAGGGTATGTGCCATGGGGTAGAGTCTACGTAGGAAAGAGACGATAAAGAGAAAAAAGGAATAGAGAGATAATAATGGATATAGAAAATGGAGATGATTTGCCCTCAAATTGCTAGACCTTTTCCCCCTTAATTGTAGGGGGGGTAGGACACATTCTTAACACTGCAAATTTCACTTTTGTTTTAATACATTTGAACACATATTGTTGCCCTTAACACTGCTGATTGCCAGTTTATGCAGCGCTGGTCCAAGGGCCAACCCACCAGGCCACCAAACAAAAAGGCTTCATGCCTCAAAAGCGATTATTCATTACGGAGTAATTAATATGATTATAATGATGCATCAAAATTAGCAATGAAAAACAAAAGTTTCCCCATAATGAAAATATCTAATTTATTGTGCACTACGTGAGGTGTCCGCTACATGGATCAAACGATGTCATTGTACACTATCATTTACCACGCCTGCTCTTAAATGAAAACGACAACTTTTAGGGTCCTTTTAGGGCCCCGTTTGGTACACGGAATTCAAACTATGTAATTGGAATTGAGGGCTTCAATTCCAATTTTGGTGTTTGCTAGCACAAAAATTATGTTGATTTGGAATTGATGGTGCAAAAAAGGAATTGAAATTGGCAAAATTCAATTCTATGGAATTGAATCCCATGGAATTTCAATTCCAATTCAATTCTGATTCCATCAATTCCGTATATACCAAACGGACTCTGAGATTCAATTCCATAGAATTGAATTTACCAATTTTCATTCATTTTTTTGCACTATCAATTCCAAATTCACATAATTTTTGTGCTACCAAACACCAGAATTAGAATTGAAGGTTTCAATTCCAATTTCATAGTTTGAATTCCGTGTAGGCCCCGTTTGGTACAAGGAATTCAAAGTATGGAATTGGAATTGGGACTTCAATTCCAATTCTAGTGTTTGGTAGCACAAAAAATATGTGGATTTGGAATTAATAGTGCAAAAAATGAATTGGAATGGACAGAATTCAATTCTATGAAATTGTGTCCCATGGAATTTCAATTCTAATTCAATTCCAATTCCGTCAATTCCGAATACCAAACGGACCCGTAGTGTTTGGGAGTGATTAACTTATGAGTAAAAGTGATTTTCATAAAAACTGAATGCGGAAACACCATATATCTATTTCTCTGAAATGACGTTCTATGTACAAAATGATGGTGAAGAAAAGCAGAAGTCATTATGCCAAAAAGAATAAAATGATAACCACTTAAAGCAGAAGCTAAATTCTAAAAATCAATATAGTGCCAAACACCTTCTATGTACTCCGTATTTCAACTTTATGAAAAAAAAGGTTAACAATATTATTTGTATAATTGAATTGCTGAGTAACTAATTGTTTTACCCATAACTTTAGCAACTCTCAATGATTTTAACCAATTCCAAAGTTTGACTATATTATTTTCACACTTCTCTTGTCCTGCATCATCACTGGTATTGTTATAAGAAAATTATTCCCATCATTCCTTAAAATATTTTTTCTTTTTCAGTTTATCCCAAAAAAAATTGCTTTCCACTTTTAGAATTTTTTTTACAGCACATACTATTTTACTTTCATTTGCATCATTTTCAACCAATAGAACGCTTTTACAAAGAAAAGGGAGTAATTTGTAGTTCATATTGGGTCATTGTACATACTACAAACTAGTACTTCATCCGTGCTAATTTTGATTACAAATTGAAAATTACGAGGTAAAATTTTACGAGTTTTTGAATTAATTTTATTTACAAAGTGGTGTATCTATAGAAGTTAACCCAATGTGAACTGTGAAAAGGTAAAGTAGAATTAGGAATCAGAAGTACCATGCTAGGGAATGATTTAAAATCCTCTACTTTTTGTCCCATTCAACGAATACTTTCAAGTGCTCCCAAGATTCGATTAAGTAATTGATCTCCAAATATTTTTCATTGGCGAGGATTTAAGAGAATTAGATAAGTAGATTGAACAGATTTTAATTTAGTTTGAAATAACTAAAATTAGTTGTGTTTTCATTTCTAACTTTTTTTTTTGAATGCATTTCTAACTAAAAAGATGTAAAATTTTAACTAAATCAAACTAAAGTTAACAAGTGAACAAAACTTAATTGAAAATTTGTAATTGTGTGATTTAAGATTCTGGATAAAATTTATGACGAGTCCCTTTTCCACAAATTTAAGCAATTCCAAACACCCAATGACCAATAAAACAAAGGCAGCGGCAGTACTTCTGAAGAATCTCTGACCAAAGTGCTGTAAAAATTCAAGATGAGTGGGAAACACTACCGTGCTTATTTAAAAGAAAAAATACTTTTATTTGCATATGATGATAAAATAAAAAAACACATATCATCACTTTTTTTTGTATAATTTTTTGTGCAATTTTTAATTATACTCCTTCCGTCACTAAATGTATTTTTTTTGTATAATCACCGTTTTTTGTATTTACAGACTTCACTATTCAAAAATCACATGAACTTTTGTTTATTTATGTGTTTTTATTGATTATTTGACAAAATAAAACAATCATATCGTCTCTTGTTTTGTAAAATTTTTGATATACTTTTTAACTATGTACATTTTATTTTTTATTTATAAACCAATCATCAAATAAAATGAATTTAAAAAATTTGAAATTTTACTTTGTTATGCGTAAAGTGTAAATTATTTAGGAACAAAGAAAGTACTACCTCCGTCCCACTCCTTTTGTCCAGTTTTGACTTTTGGAACTGTTCACCTAAGCACTTTGACTCATCAAATTCTCTCAATGTGTAAGTCTAAAAATAGTCATGTGTGATCTTGTTTGATTTGTCTTAACATGTAGATTATTAATATATAATTTTTATAATTTTTTAATACACAAATTACAAGATAAAATGGATTAAAGAAGTGCATTGGATGGTGTGCAAAAATGAAAGTGGACAAAAAGAGTGGGACGGAGGGAGTATAAGGTATACGAAGTACTTTGTATTTCTAACTACACCCTCCATCTTGAAAAAATTCTAGTTACTATTCACAAGNTTAGGAACAAAGAAAGTACTACCTCCGTCCCACTCCTTTTGTCCAGTTTTGACTTTTGGAACTGTTCACCTAAGCACTTTGACTCATCAAATTCTCTCAATGTGTAAGTCTAAAAATAGTCATGTGTGATCTTGTTTGATTTGTCTTAACATGTAGATTATTAATATATAATTTTTATAATTTTTTAATACACAAATTACAAGATAAAATGGATTAAAGAAGTGCATTGGATGGTGTGCAAAAATGAAAGTGGACAAAAAGAGTGGGACGGAGGGAGTATAAGGTATACGAAGTACTTTGTATTTCTAACTACACCCTCCATCTTGAAAAAATTCTAGTTACTATTCACAAGTCAAATTAATTTTACTTTTTTTTATAAGTTTTCAACGATTATTTGAAAATAAAATAATCTTTTCGCCATTTGTTTTGTAAAAATTTGATCAAGTTTTTTAATATGTAATTTTTCTTTTTACACAAATTTTTACTTATTATATAGATTCAAATATAACTTTAGCCAAATATCGTACACTAAACAAGAGCCATATTTTGGATCCGGGGGGAGTATTTTAATTTATAAAAAAAAATTTAAAGCATAAAATTTTTTATGTTTGGAAATATTATTGAGACCGAGGGAGTATACCATTGAACATTGTTAGTATTGTCCTCATTATTTAGTTCTAAGATTAATTTGACATAGTACTCCGAAATTGTTATTGTTTAAAATAAAATGAACAATATGCACCGCATAATCCTTAGCCGCAAATTTTCATGTAAACTTTGTGTCCATACTTATTTATAGATCTTATTAAAAAAATATCATGTAAGAATTAGACTTTTTGAAAAAAAAGGATCACTTGTTAGCATATAAAAATGTGAAAAGATCTATATTTTTTACATTATCTATCATGGAAAACACAACTAATCTTTAATACGGAGTAATATTGAAAAGTGGATAAGATTATAGAACTTTTTTTGGGGCAGGATTATGGAAGATTTGGAATAGAAAAGAAAAAACAAATTTAAACCACAAAAAAAAAAGAAATTATATTGTCGATTTATACCGAAAATATTGCGCGGTTTTTTTAAAGAGAAGCATAGGGTGCTTATTTTTTCTCCACACGACAAGGAAATCACGTGCGGGGCCTATCAAGATACCGCATGAAAAACACGGTCATAAATTTCCTCGATCCCAGAACAGGGATCCAACGGACGAAACCATTTCATCCTGCCAGGGCCAGTGGGACCAATGAAACACTCTTTCAGACTCCAAATCACGCCATCCGTCCTAAATTAATTGAGGCTTGAAAACAAAGTTTCTTCAGTTAAGGTTTTCAATATTTTATTAATACGAGTATAATAATAGATCGACGGCCCGGTTCTAGTGACACTGGAAAACGGTGCCACTAGCGTGCCACTTCCTTTTTGGTGCACCTCCGGTGCTCCGCTCGTAAAATTGACGGTCTCTACCCCTAACCCACCCCTAAACCCTCCACCCCAGCACCCCCACCCCAACCCCGCCGTAAGACCCCCACAAAATGTGTGGCTATTATGCATTAGATCAAATTTAAAAATATTAAAGTTAAATATTAAATTTAAATAATACCTTTAAATATTTTAATTGTTGTACTTAATCATTTTATAAAAATTAAGAAAAAAATTACAAAAATATGTTGAATATTGTTAAAATTTATTTAAAAATGATATTTATTTTGAAACACACATTTTTTTCCCTTAAAAAAAATAAAAAAAAATATTTTAAGAATGAAATAAAAAAACATGAAAAGTTTTTTGGTATATACGAAATACGGAGTAAAATCATACTCCATGATTTGACTATATATGGACGGTGTAAAACTTTTTAAAAAAATATTACTTCCTCCGTCCTAAAACTTTCTTCCCAGAGCACTATTGCAACTTCACGGGAATTTATACCAAAAAATTGCTGATGGGTACCCCTAATTTTGGGATAAAGACTAGCAGATCCCATTGTTTTTCAAAATATACTCCGAGGTACCTTAAGATATTCAAAAACTGACTCCGGGGTGACAATCCGTCATTCTCTCCGTTAACATTTCTTCTCCGTTATCCTCCTCCTCCTCCTCTTCTCAAAAAATTGCTGCCAGGTACCCCTTATTTTCAGATAAAGACTGGCAGGTCCCATTTTTTAAAAAAATTTACTCATGGGAATTTAAAATATGATGTTTGTGACTGAAGAGGGAACTTACGTATCATTTATAAAATTAAAATTATTTATTCACTTGGTTATAAATTATACGTCGTAATTCATAATAATATTAAATTTAACACTATTTTTATTGTTTCATATTATCTTTACAAGACATATTAAATTTAACACTATTTTTATTGTTTCATCTTATTCTTTTCTCAAGTCCTCTTGTTTTCTCGATTTATCATGACACCATTACCAATGACGATTATCAATGACTAATGCGAAGTACTATTTTTCTAAATAATAATGATTGTTACTCCGTATTTCTTAAAAATAGAGTAATAAAATTACTAATCTGCAATTAACTTTTAATAATAATTAAGGAAATAATAGGAAATACATAATATTATCAATTTTGACCAAAAAAACAAAAGTAGACAAACACTCTAGAACAGAGGAGTAATTAATATGAAGTAATAATAATAACTAGTGGTATTTTTTAAAAAAGTATAGAAGTAAAATTACTAATTAATTTCTTAAAATAAATAATAGTATTAATAATAAGTGTTATTTTATAATAAGTGCTATTTTTCTAAATAACAATTAGTGTTTTTATAGAAAAGAGTGATAAAACTAACAATTAATTTTTAATAATAATAGTAATAATAATAAATCAAAAAATTAATAATAATAATAGAATAAGAAAATAATAATTATGAAGTAATTAATTATAATAATTATTAACAAATAATAATAATTATAATAGAAGAAGAAAAAAACAAAAGAAAAGGCAAAAGAAGAAGAAAACGTGGGTGGGAGAGGAATGGAGGTCACTGGAACTCTGGAAGGCAGGAGAAAGAAGAAGAAAAGAAGAAAAGAGGAAGAAGAAGAAAAGAATGGGACCTGCCAGTCTTTATCCGAAAATAAGGGGTACCTGACAGCAATTTTTTGAGAAGAGGAGGAGGAGGGTAACGGAGAAGAAATGTTAACGGAGAGAATGACGGATTGTCACCCCGGAGTCAGTTTTCGAATATCTTAAGGTACCTCGGAGTATATTTTGAAAAACAATGGGACCTGCTAGTCTTTATCCCAAAATTAGGGGTACCTAGCAGCAATTTTTTGAATTTATACTTATTTATGTTTTTTCATAGCCTATATTATAAAATAAAATATTTTTGTCACCACTTGTTTTGTTGAACTTTTGATGTAGTTTTTAAAGATGTATGTTTTATTTTTTATTTCTATACCAATATTTAAATAAAATAGATTGAAAAAACTTGGGATTTTTCTTCGTTTTGCGCAACGGGAAGAAAAATATAGGACGGAGGGAGTAAAAACTACAAAATATGCTTCATAATAAATTTATGGGAGATGCTAGGGGTACACCAAATGTGTACCCTATTTGTCCCCCACCCCCTCCATAACCACTAATTTCAATTTGATTTTTATTTACTTATATTTTTTTAATTTTCTTGCCTATTTGAATGGTTATGGAGGGGGTGGGGGACAAATGGGGTACACCAAATGGTGTACCCCTAGCATTTTCCTAAATTTATTTGGGAGAATTGGCGTAAACGTACATAAATAAAATGTATGAGGGATAAGGAGTATAAGGATGTTAATGGATGATGGAGTCGTGTGAATCTGATGTTTTTTCATCTTCATCCATCCATTCAATTCAATACTCCGTATTATTCCGTATTTTTTCTTGCCTTTAAGCGGTATTCAAGTGGTCAATAGAATATACAAAAGGCCTAATGACCAAATTCGACATTATTTTAGTTCATATGTTGACATCATTCACATTATGAAACTTATTTTAGACTTAAAAATATAAACATACTACTGTATTTTAGTTCTTTTCTAGGATTTATTCTTATTTCAATTTTTATCCCAAATTGAATTTGAATGTGTTAAAGTATACAAAAGGGAATCAATTTTTTATGTGGCCGTTGCCAACAGTAATGCATCAATTTACGGAATAGTTTTTTGTTTTGAAAGCATTAGGGAGTAATTTCTAGACTCGAGAAAAAAATTAATTGGAAGAATTACTCTCCCAAAGGAATACGAGAAAATTTCATACTACTAGGGTTGGGGCCCACGCGTTTTGTGTGGGTAGGATCATTCGAGTCCACAGAGTAGGCTACCGTGGGGTGCCAACGCAGATGACTAAAACTCGGAGACGCGCGCTATTCGCACCGGCCACGCTATTCACACTGCTCGCGATGTTGAAAGTGTGCATTATTATTGGAGCAATTAAGACTACGGTACAGATTAGAGACCACCAGACGTTCAATGACCGGAAAATCAATCGAGAAAGATCTAGAAATTACCGTTTCTTCTTCCCCAGAAAGCCAAGCAGGCGTCCATGGCCGGAGATTCTCAGCTCATCTCCGTTGCTGCGCCAATCTCAAGCAGAGCAGAGAGAAGAGATTCCACAACCATTCACCCCCCAAAATCCTCCCTGCAAAGCGATCGAAGAAAGAAGAAAGCAAGGTTTCAATACACTTAACAGTGGAAAAAGTGAAATTCCATCCCAAAATCGGAGAAAATCAAATGAAATTTTAAGAAATTCTGACTGACCGGAAGGTTTCGGAGGGCGATGAGGTCCGACCAGAAACGCAATGCGAAGAACAGGATGAAGATTCCTTGAATCAACCGCGAGTCGCAGGTCTCGCGCACTGCCGTGCCACAAGCTCTGCGAGCAGGGAGCGATGGAGATGGACGGCAGACAGGTTCCGGATTTGTGATGTGAAGATCAGGAACGAATTAAAGCCGGACGGATTCGTACAGGGAGGACCAAAAAAGACTGAGAGACGAAGACGAAATGGGCAAGTATTTTTCGAGGGGGAGATGAAGACATATTTTGGTTTGGCTTTTAAAAAGCAGGGATCGAGGAAGTGCGGTCAATTTTCGTGATCTTGTCATCTGACGGAATTGCCCAACGACGTTTGGGATAGGGTGTCGACCTCGGCGAATCGGTTACGAGGCTATTCTAGTAATTATACTGTGTTCTAGAGGGTAACTGGTTAACAGCTGTGTGTACCCGACGCCTCTCGGCAAAAAGAAACCATAGGGGATTAGGGCCGTTCACTTCAATTTACTACCAGTAGGTAGGGGTGGATACGGTACGGTTTCGGAACTGCTGGTTCCGGTACCGCCACCCCTTGGTACCGGTATCGTGACCGGACCGGGTGGTACCGGTTCCGATATCCAGACTGGCAGTTCCGGTACCGGACCAGCTGGTTTTGGCCACCCCAATTTTTTTTTCTTTTTTTAAAAAAATTTTTAAAGTGTAAAAATTATAAATTTGTAATTGTTAAAGGAAAGAATGAAATAAAAAATCTAAAAATGTAGTTGTTATTTAAATATTGTAAAATGAGTAATACACGAACTGAAGAACAACTGCATTTCATATTCTGACGGTTCAAAAAAAGCGACGAGGTAAAGAACTGTAAACAAACCCTCGAAAGAGCTTATATATCGCTCACCTAAAAAAACTAATTACATATTTACATATCTACAATTCTACATTAACATAAAAAAGTTTATAACTTATTCCTCAGAACTCGGACTTCCATTTGTAGTTGCATTCATGTAATACTCCAAATTGAATTCGTACCCTGACTCTTGAGCTCGACATCTTGCAAAGAGCCAATCTTGGTTGCAAACAAGTGTTTCAAGAGATTCAGCGTTAAGACAACTTCGGTAGTCGGTTAGAATGTTGCCGCCAGCACTGAATTCCCTTCCACTGCTACGGTTGATACCGGGACGGACAACACTTGTCTTGCTAGCATTCCGAGACATGAGAACATGTGTTCATTCCGCTTCCACCATCCAAGGACATCAAACTCCACGTCGTCGTCGTCATCGTAATCGCATGGCACCCCTTGGTACATAGCAAGTTCGTTGTGCGAGCTTACTGTTGTACCACTTGAACTCGTCGAAAGCTGAGCACGCTTCCCTTTCTTTGCAAGAAGCCCACCAACTATTCCTTTAAAACCTTTTTTTGACTTGGGGGCAGAGGCGGTGTTATTTCTTCTGGTACATTACCGTATAACCTTTGATATTCCTTAAACAAATTCTCAAAAAGAATTATAGCATTATCTCTTTCTTTTTCTCATTCTATATTAAAAGGCTGTAGTAATAACTATTTTCATCTAAAAAACAACTGTAGTAATAGTCAATTAGAATTTTAAAATTTTCAATCTTAAAGCGTGGATCACAAATAATACCTATTTTATAAATATCAGGAATGTACAACACCATTTATCTTTCATAGGAGAGACATAAGTAGGAGTGGGCACGGGCCGGTTCCGGCCAAGATTTCTATAAACCGGACTCAACGTGTTTTTATTAAAACGGTTCGGGCCGGAACGGGTTTTCAAAATTTTAAAATTGAAACCGGACCTAAACCGGCTTGTTCGAAACGGGCCAATTTCATGGATCAGCGGGTCCGAACTTTTCATGATGCTAATATTAAAAATATAAAGAAATGCAAATAATTTAATAATACATACATGGTCATTCACCATTAGTCCATAACAATAGACTACCCACCACCATCAGTTTAAACTTTTAAGTCATCAAACAAAAATAATAGCCTGAACAATGATAAAGAGGAAGTGAGGACAGCAAACCCTCGTGATGGCATGATCATCTAACAAAAAAAGGAAAGAGTACAATCACATTTTGGCACTATAATGCCATATGGTTCCAAAAAGAACAATCAGGCAGTAGGCAGTCATCTTTATGGCTTCCAAAAAAACCAAAACCCCTGCAAAAACAAAATTTTAAAATCAAACATATTCCACACACAAACATGCACAAATGGTTAAAGAAGTTCAATATTAATCTACCTCTTTCACATGCAATTAGGTCTTGACTATCTCCTCTTTACTCTGTAGAGAAAATATAATTATATGATTAAATTAGTCTCCAATAATGTATAAAAAAAAGTATATAAACTATTGTTAGTGAATTGAAAAATAATACGGCACATCCTTTATGCTTTTTAATTATTTCCGAAGATTGAAGATTATGAGCACTTGAATTCGATGTTGATTCTTTGTCCTTCCTGTGCTCTGTGCCAAAGAAAAACATGGAAAAAAACATACATATTACTTTCAAGACTATGCAAAGAGAGTAACTTTCTATATGCTACTGTCCATTTGACTAATTTATTAGTAATAGGTAAGTTTATGAGCACTAAAATTTATCATCATCACAAGTCAAATGACACATTATTTCTACTCGGCAATCCTTACTATATGGTAATTGGTAAGGGGTCCTCTGCAAACATATCTACAAACATATTTGAAGAAGTAGTAATTGCCAATGGCACTAATATAAAAAACAAGACTAATTGCAAATGGCACTCATTGGAGAAGTGGTGGTGAAACTGGTGATGATGATAAATACAGTTGGCTGTGTAAAATCAAAAATTGAAAATGAAGAGGTGAATATTTCAATTAAGAGATGAGATGAGAAGAGGTACCACGGGACAAGATTCACCGGAGAAGGCGATTTAAGGTGACCGGTGGTGTCAAGATTCTCTGCTCCGTCTCCGTCTGTGCTCGGAAGGTTAGCGCTTCCCTCCGTCTCCGTCTGTGCTCGAATGGTTAGCGCTTCAGAAGCTCCGCCTGTTCTTCGGATTCACAGCTTAGCCGCTTAGGGTTCTGAATTTCTGACTTCTGAGTTATGGGAAAGGCCGAAAGGATTGGGAGTTGGGTTATTGAGTAGGGCTTTGGCCCAAGTAATACTAAAAATAATAATATGGAGTATTAACTAACAAACGGGCCGGTCCGGGTCCTGGAGAATTTTAAAACTGAGAACCGGACCGATCCAAACACCTATAAGGACTGGACCGATTCAGACCGTTATAATTTTTTAAAAATGGACCTGTCCCTAACCCAGACCGAACCTGTCGGTTCGGTTCCGACTCACGGTTCCTGGACCCGTTTGCCCACCCCTAGACATAAGAGTACAAATCTTCATCAGCCAAACTTTCACGAAAACATGTTGCGATTGTAACGCACTCTTTAAAAAATGTATTTGTAGTTGGTTGGTAAACATGCAAAAAGTAAGAGTTGCGTTATTAAAAACTTCTAATACGGCATTCAATTTTTCAACAATAACAAATTCAATAGGTGAAATCATTAAACGAAGTTCATCCCTAAAAAATTCAGCAAGTTACTCTTTGTAGCTTATAATCTATGTTATTAACTGGTATGTACTATAACATCTAATGTTGATATCTTTGGCAATGTTATTTGTATTCTACCCTTAGACTTACAGAATGTCTTCAAGGACTTCGAAATAAGACGACTACCCCAAATTCTTCTAATTCCATTTTTAATATTCGTCAAACCCTCCCATAGCTTCTAATTTCTGTTGAACACACAAATTTAAAACATGACAGGCACACCGTTAATGTAGAAATCTACCCATAATCGTAGTGGGGGGGGGGCAAATTTCTTTAAGTCTAAGAATAACAGCAGTATTATTAGTAGCATTATCAAAACCAAATGCAAACACTTTATCAACTAAGTTGTATTCCCGCAGAATACGCTGAAGCAATAGAAAAATATGTTCAGCAGTATGAGAATCATTGAAATCACGAAATGCAAGAACGCGTTTATGCATAATCCAATCACTATCTATCAAATGACAAGTAAAACTCATATAAAACAAATTATGATATGTTTCACCCCAAATATCAGAACAAATAGTAACACGAGAATTAAAATTGAGAAAAAAATTTGCCAAATTTATTTTTTCAAATTATACTGTCGAATAATTTCTCATTTAATTGTTTTTCTTGAAAAACCTCTTGCTTGAGGGTTTAATGCTTGTTGAGAATAATAAATAAATCCAAGTTTTTCAGAAAACATGTATGACAAATTTTCTTCACAAATCATTTCGGTCTTTTTTTGCTTATTTTGCTCGTCGCTATAAGCAAAAAGGCCGCCCTTACCCCTGTTAGCAAACCGAGAAATTTGGGTTTGCACTTCTTGTCGTCCCTTCTTTTTCGCCGCATATTTGGCGTACTCCACGGGATGCCTCGACCTTAGGTGTTTTTCCGAACCACCATAACCGCCGGAAACTCCCATTATAATGACGGTGGCACAATATTTACAAGTTCTATAAACTATGCCATCTTTTGTATCTTTTTCAAAATGATAAATAAATAAATCTAATTTTAATTTTTTTACCTTTGTCCGGACCTTGAGAGGTCTCGGGCTCACATGCCTCATGGTCGACGTCGTTGCTGTGCGGTGTAGGCTCCTCGTCCCCGTCCATTCCTGCTTCATCAATCTCCTCGAATAAACTTTCAAGAGTTTCGAGATTCGCGTCGCCTCTACCTGAAATGTACTGGTTGAATTCTTGATCCGTCAAAGCGTCGCCCATGAATAGACGGGGAAAGTAGGAAAGGAAGAGACGGAGTATCTTCCTCGAGAACCGTGTGAGGTCGAACTGTCGAAGGTGGCTTTAGCTTTGCCTTTCCTCGATCTTCGGTTCACGGCACCCATATCCACGGACCTTCTATCGGACTCTCTCGACATTTTAATATATATATATATATATATATATATATATATATATATATATATATATATATATATATATATATCTGTGTGTGTGTATTGATATTTAAAAAAAAAATATTAAATTTCGAAAATTTCGAAAATTATAATTTTTTTAAAAACATAATATATTTAAAAAATTAATTAAATATTTAAATTATTTAGAGAATATATTTAAAAAATTAATTATATATTAAATTTCGAAATTATAATATTAGTAAAAAACTAAAAATATATGATAATTGATAATATGAATAATGAATGTATTTATACGTTATTATGTAATATATTAATATATATTTATAATATTATATGAATATAAATTGTATAAAAATTAAAAAGAGATAATACGATTGAGAGATTGAGATTTGAAAGATTGATAGACATAGAGATTGAGAGATGGATTGAGTGTGATTTTTTTGGAAAAAAATGGTTGAATTTATAGTATTCCCCCCCCTCCTCCCCCTCCCCCACCTCAAACGGCTATTTAGCCGTTGAGGCCCCTTCCCCCACTGACTTTTTTTTCTCTTTTTAGCAGGTGGCCGTTGGGAAGCAAAAGCAAAAGCAAAAAAAAAATTAAAACCGGTACCGGCGGTGCTGGTACCGAAAATTTGGCACCAGAACCGGTACCGAGTTGGTCGGTACCGGAATCGATTCCCGGAACCGGTGGAACGTCCCGGCTGGTGGGACGGTGGCGGGTACCGCCGGTACCGTTGCCGGTCATTGTACTGAACCGGTGACGGATCCACCCCTACAAGTAGGGGTGTGCACCAATCCAAAACCGGACCGAATCGGACCAGAACCGGAATGGACCGGAACCGAAATCCTCTATTTCCAAGGACCGAAGACCGGACGTGTTAGATACCGGTCCGGACCTGAATTTTTCGGTCCGATCTGAGTTTACCCTATTATGGACCAGATTTTAAACATAAATGACCTAATTTTCATTATAAAAAATTCATATCTAAATTATATAGGTGTATATATATATATATATATATATATATATATATATATATATATATATATATATATATATATATATAAATAATACCATCAATTCACTAGGGAGGACATTTGTTAAATTCATAAGTGCATAACACTACAAAATCTATGAAAAAAATCCAAACCAAAGTTCAAACTTCAAAGAAAAAAATTAAATAAAAAATACTTAAAGTAAAAATTGAAATTAAGTAACATATCATGCTAGGAGCCTAAGAGAATTAAAAAAGAAGAAATTTGAAAGGATAATGGTCTAATGAATTAACTATTTATTTAGAAAATTAATATTTTATTATAAACCGGTCTGGATCGGAAAATTCCAGGTTTAGACCGGGCCGGACCGGAACCCGGAATTCTAAGTTTTGGAGGACCGAAGACCGGACCTGAAAGTTCCGGACCGGTCCTGACCAGTGCATTCCGGTCCGGTTCACGTCTAAATTCCGGTCTGGACCTGTTAATGCACAGCCCTAACTACGAGAATGCTTTGGGTGTAGAATCTTGAAATCGTTGTCCTGACTCGAAATATTCTGCTTCTATTTTTATAATGTTTCGTTTTGCGACAGATGAATTTTTTTTGTCCTGAACTCGTTCTGAACTATTTTAAAACGGGACAGGATCGGGACACATAATATTTTCTTGTTCCGTCCCGTTATCTCGTTGTATATATCTACTTATTTATTTGCATAATGATATAACACAAAAAAATATATCAATATTTCTGTATATCTCAAAATAGATATAAAAAAATATTCATATCTGAATATTCTAAAAAAACATGACTAAGACCAGGACACCAAAATATCTAGACCGTTCTAACCCGGCTCACCCTAGTTCGTGGCTCATAGTTAAAAAGAAGCTTATAGTCAACATACCTTTCTATTTCGAGTTTTTAAAATCATTCTAAATAAATATATCATTTTTTCATTATTTTGCAAGTCAATGCGAGTTGTCTTTCCCTTATGTATTTTATATTTTTATATCAACTTTTGGATAATGACAAAATAGGACAACCCAAAGTCGTTTCGCTTTATCACGATCCCGAAAATTAAAGGACAAAGTAGAAAAAGCTTGGGGCTTGAACTGTTCTGAACCATTTGAAAAAAACCAAGACAGGACACATGAAAGTTTAAAACCCAAATCATCCCGACCCGTGTCCACCCCTACTTGGGTTCATATCATTTTTGTGGATCTTCCCACATAAAAATTTCTTTTTTTACTTTTTATTTAAAAAAATAAATGCTTATCTAAGTAGTAAAGAAATGCTTATTTTGCTTGCATGTAGGTCCATTATGGACTTTAAGTCCACCATAAAATAATACTTTTCTCGTTTGATTTTTCATGTAATTTAAAAGAAATAAAGTTACTTTATTCTGTTTAGATTTATGGAACGGAGAGAGAAGAAATATGAATTACTTATTCCATTCTTTTTAAGAAAGAAGAAATTTGTGTTGGGAAAATTCAACAAAGAACATGTAAGATTAAAATTGGGATAAAGGGAGTACTTTAAAACTGTATATTTCATGTAGTATATGACACAAGAAATGAATCAAAGCATTGATATCTATATGCTAAAGATTAAAATGGTTCAAGTTGAAAGATAGTATAGTAAGCTCAATTGCTCAAATGAAAGTATAGTGGTAACATGCACGTTACTATAAGACTAGACCTGGCAAAACAGAACCGGAACCGATTACTCGAATCGAAATATCTGAAACTGAAACCAAAATGACCCGAAAAATGAAGATCCAATCTATAACCGAAAACCCGAATCGAATCGAAACCGAACTAAATAATTCATATCCGATTTAAATCCGAAACCGATTAGATCCGAAACCGATAATATCCGAACCGATTAAACACGAAACCGATTAGATCCGAACCCGATAATACCCGAAACCGATAAAATCCGAAACCGATTAGATATGAAACCGATAATATCCGAACCTGATTAGAACTAAAATCGATAAATTCAGAACTATGTTTGCCTTTCAATAAGCATATTATATTTTTAAATTTTTACTTTTATTTTACCATTTGAACTAATTACATTACTTGCTCATTCCCTCATAAAATGGATTATCTTCTTGAAAAAAAGTACAAAATTTTATGCCTTACATTTATTATATGTAGGAATTAAAGATAAGTTATACATATAAATGATAACGCACAAACAAATAAAATTTCTGTAATTTTTAAATAGTGAAGTGTGGTATTCTTTTTGAGACGAAAGGAATATATGATGAATTGTATGGAATAACTAGATTTTATCCTAATTTCATCTCATTACAATAAATTTTATTGATTTGAGAGTTAATTTGATTAGTTTCAAACCAATTCACTCAATATTAGTCAATAAAATTAGATGCTAGTGTTAGCATTTTGAAAAGACTCTCTAGCAGCAGCCTTTACTGTTATCATTTTCAAATTTGATCTACACCATTACATTTAGGTGTAAAATTAATTATATTTGACTCTATTAAATTTAATTTTCTCTATTTTCAACCAAATATACTCAATAATTTACAAAGTTTGCACTCAATTGAATAAAATTCACTTAATTTCACCCAATTTTACTCAATTTTTTCCAAATTGTATTCAAATGGAACATAAGACTATTTGAATTTATCTTTTATCCTTTCATTTATATACATAAGTATATTAGTAGATGTGAGAAAGATTTGATATTTCAAAACTAAATTTTAAAATCAATTTAATTATATTAAATTTATATCATAATTAAATATATATGTTTTCATAATTTATAGTCCAAATTTGTAAAATATGACTAAAAAGTCAAAAGGGGAAGATTATTTAGGGTAGAGATAATATAACTAGAAAAAAATAAAATAATATGAGGTATTGAATTGATGATAGATTGATAAATGTGATAAAACATAAAAAGAAACACGGATAGTTAAACTTTAATTAGAAAATAATATATATCCAAAATATATTTGATCCGAAACCGAAATATATGCGAACCGAACTAGACCCGAAACCGAAATATATCCGACTCAAATTGTATCCGAACCGAAATCTACCCGAACCGATTTATAACCGAACCGTATCTAAACCGACTCGAAACCGAACCGAACTGAAAAATATATAGAACCGAAATCAAATCCGAACCGAAATTTAACCGATCCGAACCAAACCGAATTGATTATAACATATAACCGAAAGATATCCGAACCGAAAAAATCTAACCCGAAACTGATCCGGTTGATCCGATTGCCACCTCTATATAAGACCCATATAGTACTCCCATGGTCAAGTTAATCTAGTACCATAATACCTACTAATATGTGTGTACCTATAAATTGAGATACTTACTCCATATTATTTACTATCTTCGACTTGAATATTTTTTCAATTTTTTATTATTTATAATCAAAATTAACAAATTTTGACCACTAAAAAATAAAATTGGTACTCCCTCCGTCCCGCTATATTCGTCTACTTTTGACTTTTGGAACTGTTCATCTAAGCACTTTAACTCATCAAATTCTCTCAATGTGTAAGCCTAAATATAGTCATGTGTGACCTTGTTTGATTTGTCTTAACATATAGATTATTAATATGTAATTTCTATAATTTTTTAATATACAAATTACAAGATAAAATGGATTAAAGAAGTGTATTGGATGGTGTGTAAAAATGAAAGTGGACAAATACTCTGGGACAGAGGTAGTATAAGATATTGATATAAAAATAATTTCATTGGACTTATTTTATATCATATGTTAAAAATATTGTTTTATGTAATTAATATAGCATTCAATTTCTATTTAATTCAAGCTCAAAAGAAAAATATGTATGGTTTACTACACAAAGTTAAAATGGATAAATATTCAAAGATGAGGTAGTATATCTTATGAGGCACAACTATTTTATCTCAAACGTACTAGTCTTAATATGTTATGATGTCTATATTATCATACTAAGTACTAACTCCGTCCCAGTGTATTCGTCCAGTTTGACTTTTTCGAGTCAAACTGGACAAACTTTGAATTCCACTAACTCTCAATTTATATTGAATATTAGCATAATGAAATATAATTTTGAAAAATCTCAATACGATAAATCTAATAAAGTCATTTTTGTGTTAAAATACATTACAATTTTTATTTAATTGAAGCTCAAAGTTAAAAGTCAAACGGGACAAATACATTGGGACGGAGGGAGTAATATTTTACTAGGGATTCCATTAGACATAGCATCTAAAACATTGTAATAGACTCATAACATGGACATTGTAGTCCCCCCTCGGTGTTACTAAACCGCTAAGTCTATGGACTAAAACTATATTTAGATACACAAGATACATAAAACCGATAAACACTAGCTAGATTGGTCGTGAAGGCTCTTAAATATAATAATCTCCCACTAGCTTAGTGGATGCTCATTCACTTAGTCACTTACGAGAATGCTCATTCACTTTTCCCAAAACCTTAGTCAGTGGATCTAAAATATTGTCATATGTTCTTATTATGCAAATTTTAATGTTACCCTTCCAAATGATCTCTCTTACATGGCGACAAGGTTTGAGTGTTTGTGTTTAGCCATGTTTTGTGACGTAAATGAGCTGACCTGAGAAACTTTCTCGATGGTCGTAACCCAATGGAATAAGGTCGTGTCTGCTTGAAACCACATGAAGTTTAATGACGAAATTTTTAGAATTAAACGCCTCCTTGTTTGTTTATGCAGCGACAAAGCACTCAAAATCTATATTTGAATATAATCAACAGTCGAAACACTCTTTGAACTCCTCAAATTTAAAGCTCTATTATTCAAAGTTTGTAACCTTTTGCTACAGGGTATACAACATTTCATCATAGAAATGTTCTCTTAGCTTCTCAAAATGATCTCTTAGCTTCTTTGTCACATTATACCACTACTGGTGGCTCTCTGAATATACCTTGAAGGACACTTGTACTTGAGTTGCAATGTAGTGACAATCACTTAGTATGCTATCTCCTTATAACACTTAGAGAAGAATGTATGTGGTCTATGTCAGGACCTTCTTGAGGAGTCCAACGTCGGATGCATATCCAACAGTTCTTATGTGTTTCCTGTAACACCCTAATCCGTCCAGGTCTGCAGCCCCTTTCGGACTAAAGTATTGATTTGGTAATCGTGATAATTTAAAACATTTCAAACATTTTTATTTATAAATAATATTCCGTACATAATTGTAGAAAATGCGGAGTGTTTAATAATAATGCGGAAGCGACTTTTAAACATGTTTCACAACAACATAATTATTTATTTTGTTCAATGATCCACCACGACTGTCTCGCCCCTTCTGCTGCCAGGAATCAGCCAATCATTCATTCTACCTACCTGCGTGTAGCAAATAAAACACACTACACGCTCAGCGGTGAAGCTGAGTAAGCATATCTAAAGCATCGAACATCCAAATAAATTGAATCTCAATTCATAATCAACCATTTGATATCATGCACACAATATATGATTCAAACATTCATGATATTCTCAATATTTTATTTCAAGT